ATTATATAGACTATTGCCTGAGTACTGTGTTCTACCAGTACTGATACCTCTGTATAATACTTGACAGCCCCTCTGTTAAATATTTTAATCATAAATACCCCAACCACCACAGTGTCCCCATTAATGCTGCTCTATTTCATTACCATTTTTCCTATATCTAGGACACGCATAGTCTTGGTTTTCTTTCAACCATCCAATTTTTAGTGCAAGTACCTCATGGCTTTGTAATGAAAACATACCAAGAGCGTACACATCAACAAGACTGGAGCTAAGGGAGAGCAAGAAAGAAACCAAGGCGTAACAAGATGGTGAAAGAGAAAAGGTAGGGAGACTGAGGGAAGGAGAAAGCGAGAGCCATGGCAACCGTAATAACTGACAAAAGCGTTTCAGAGCATATTAGCGCCTTCATTTGATGATGAGGTGTTCTATTTGCATGCAAAGTATCCAAACCCCTGCAGCAGAGGGTCACTATCTTGACATAACCAGCATCCAATTCCACATTGCAGGCATTCCTCACATCTCTTCTTCGCAATCAAACCATTTCCCTCTTCTCTTCTAAGGGTCTGTTGTTTAGTCTTAGACTTAATTCTGTATCAGAACAGTATCAGTCCTCATTAGGACTTTACTAAAGACACTAGACATCATTGATTGCCTGTTGATTTGTTATCTAAGTTATCTGAGTTGGTCACAGTGGAGATCATTCTGAGGTGGGCTTGATGGGGTCCAGACATTGACACCTTCCTCCCCCTACAAGCACCTGTTTGGCAGCTAAATGATCCCTTAATGACTTTGTTTAGGAAATTACCTGCCTAAACACCCATAATCAAATTGATCTGGGGCTCTGGAAACAGACAAATTAACCAGTCTGTGTAAATCCTGTTGAAGCGGATGGAGCACGGTGGTGAGTTCAGGAGTCCTGTTTCATTAATAGTAAAGGAATTAGTTGGAGTGGATGGGGTATTCAAGCTCAGACTGAAGTTTCCCTTGACCAGCCATCATTTGCATTTTGCCTCTACTGTCGTCAACTTGCCATCTGTATTAACTTGGCATCCAAATAAAGCTGGTTGGGATGGTGCCTGAAATCAAGCTCAATCCCTGAATATGTTTGTCACAACACTGGAAACAATAGTCCCCCCGGTGACAGACCTGACACAATAATTTGCTACTGACAGTGTAGTTTTTAACATTTCTTAAATCCATGGAGCCCACACAGCGTGCCGGCGTCAATACGACTGCAGTGACGTCTACTGCCATTTCAATTTTGAACATGGAGTGATATAGCACCCTCAGGTTAAATATTTTGAATTAGTGTCTCCTCCAAATGGCAAAATGTATATGTGACTTGCAGTGTGCCCCGTTCAATGATAATAGCATACTACTGCACAGCTTGTGCCATGCAGTGAGGCCTCTGAATGGACTCGGCTTCAGCCATTTGTCATAATTACAGTGATGCTTTGGCTTTGAACCATTTGCGCGCCCCACACACACACACACACACACACACACACACACACACACACACACACACACACACACACACACACACTTGCTTTTATACTTGTGTATCTACTTATTCTGCTGTCCCATGAAATTGTATAGCCCAGGGTGTCTAATTATACTAATCGAATGCGTACCGCCTGACATTTATTCATACATTATTAATAGCAGAAACAATAGAATCTCTGATTGGATGTACTGACTTCCTGACTTCTCATCTTCTCTCTCTCTCTTAATGTTTCTCACTTATCTCTCACTCCATCTCTCTCTCTCTTTCTCTCTCTCTACCCCATGACCTCCTTTCTTCTCTTGGTGACTTTTTCCCCTTCACCTCCTGTAATTTTGCTTGTGGGTGTTGAGTAATTAGCATGCCTCCCACTTTTATTCTGAAGTCAGCGAAGGGAATTTGAGAAATGTCCCATAAAGATTATGTGTCCTGATAAGGTTATGTCTGCTACTCCATTAAAGAGATGGGTTGCACAATGGCTGTTTGTATCCATTGGGACAGAGAGAGAGAAAGAGAGAGAGAAAAAATGAAAATGAAAGAAAGAAGAACTGTTTTCATATTATTACATAGAGTACAGTATATAGACTTCTGTTGCTGCATTGTAGTTCAAGTTTTATTTTCTGTTGAACTTTATTTTGTATTTAATTTACTTGTAGATTTAGATAAACCTAAGTAAGTATTGTACTTTATTACCATATTTTACTTTACTTTAATGGATTTTCACTATATGGCCAAATGTATGTATACACACTTTTAGTCATGGTATGAGCAAGGTTCCTTCTACTTACAAGGGAAATTTTAAAGAAATACTTTAGAAGCAAACACACATTGTTTTTTTTTTTTTTTTTTTTACGAATAAAGAGACACCTAACATGGTATATGACCAGTTTGGTGACTAATGTTAGCAAACTTCAGATGGATATTGGTATTACTGACATAACAGTCAGTTCCCTGACTTACTGTTATACTTGCCTATGTTTTAGCATTTATCAATATCCCATAATGTGTTAATCCCAAGTGTAAACCTATTGTCATGCATTGGTTTGTGGAGTACCTTGACTTTGGCGTTATGGTTGTTACCATGTTGGTTTTTCGGATCCAGCGACATTGATATTTGACTCATCTGTTGTAGAAAAAATTCTCAGCTCACCTGGTCACACATAAACAGTACACTAAAACATGTTTCTTAAATGTTTTTAAGCAAGAAATAGGTGATGCAGTAAAATAATCTTAATTCATATTTGATCAGCCCTGCTAGTTTAACAGTTTGATCTGAGTTTCTTGCGGTGTGCTGGACGGACTCACTCAGAGAATTACTTGTCAATCACAAAGTAGCCATGCCCTAAAGCATACTCTGCTTTATCATCTGTTTTACTCATATCATTTACTAAATGAACATCATAATTTATGGAAGAAGACTTGAAATTAGTTATTGGGGCCGTAAACTCCTTAGGAAACTATTTACTGAGGTAATAAATCACGTGATAAGTCAGGTTATTTCTCTATTAGACTCAATACTATCTAACTTTTTTGTAGCCAACGGAGCTGCCCCTTGCTGGCCATTACATAGAATGCATGTTTAAGACACTTCCGCTTTAGCTTTACTTCACAGACCTGGAAGCTCCGTCCACTATACATACCGTCAGTGGTTCCTGTTAACTGTGGAAGCAGTGGCTGCTGTTTGGCAAACGTTACAGAGTGTTGCTACAACATAAAATCATATTTTATGTAATAGTGTGCTTCCAACTTTGTGGCAGCTTATGGGGAAGGTGGTTTTCTGTTTCAACGTGATAATGACGCTGTGCCAGTTTGGCATTGAAGACCTTTGCTGGCCTGCACAGAACCCTGACCTCAACCCCCTTTAAAACCTTTGGTATGGAGCACCCAGCAGAGGTGCCCAAACTCAATTGTGCTCTTGTGGCTGAATGGGAGCAAATCCCTGCAGCTAGGTTCCAAGATCTTGTGGAAAGCCTTCCCAGAAGAGTGGAGGCTATTACAGCAGCATATCAAGGCCATGGTTTTGGAATGACATGTTCAACCATCACATATTCATGTAATGTTGGGCTGTCCACATACTTTTGGTTGAAGTGTATGAAGTTTTATATTTTTAGAGTCTCATTTTATTCTATTATACTTACTATTATATACTATTATTATACTACTATATTATGTCATGTCAAAATAATGTTTTATTGTTATAACTTAAGTTTCAATACACAACAAAAAATGTAATCTTTGCCAGTGAAGCTCTCAAAACCGCAGTGCAGTTCAGTTGACTTGTGTACGTTCAGCTAAGTGTTTGCTTTTGCATTGTTTTACACATTGTGCATCTACGACCACAGTAAAATGTTAAGGAGTTTTGCATAAAGAAATCCAACCTTGAGTATGCCTATTCAAATTTGAGATGTTGCATGAAATTTGTTGTGTTTGTGACAGTGAGGATGGAAGGCCTCTCCACTTGATTTTCAAAACAAATTACTCGTTGTTGCATTCAGCATTAAGATGACAACAAAATGAAAGTCGAGTTATGGGGTTTAGTAGATTACTGCATTTGTGTAATTTCAAGGAAAACACAATTCTAATGCCAGGCTCGTATGGAGAGGGAAAAATTGGTAGATGATTACAGATCAGAGCTCAAGATAATAACAACCTGAATAAAAACACGTGTTGAATGCACATTGAATTCCACCACGCACGATGCTATGGCAGCAAAAATTGACGTACCAACGCGCAGAGGTAGTGGCCAGCAAGGCATGAGGTCTGTGGCTGAAGTCAGTAGCAATTCTGAGAGCTTTTCTCCTGCGCGGCAGAGTGCTTGATGTATTTTCTAGATGGATCGTGGAGGTTTACCTAATTTGGGTATCATTTGTATTTCCACATGAATCACATCCAAAACCTGCATGTGCCTCTGTACCGCCCCGATGAAAAATACTGACAGTTTAGCTCCGCCGTCAGAGAGGTGATTTGCGTCGCTGGCAAGCATTTAATTTAAGTAAACCACCACTTTTCTCCCTCTCTCAGAGTCTTTCATATCCTGGATAATGCTTGACGTGTAGAGCATTATTGAACCTTTCACTCACTCTCTCCCTATACAGATTTTCCATTCATCTTTACCGCATATATGGCCCAAGATGTTACTTCTTTGCCTCTTTCTATGTGTCATAGTGCGGTGTGCTGTTTGATGTGGTCATGTTGTGCCACAGTGATCTGGCTGCATTCAGAGCTGACTGGACACTTCTCCCCTCAGTGGATGACTTAATCCCTCGCTCCGAGCAGCAATTTATCTCCTCTCTCATCAGGGCAAAGAGATAGAGATGCTGTGGGATTACAAAGATAGATCTTCAGTCAGGAAAACAACCCAGCCAGTTAGTTAGTTAGTCCATGATTGAGTGAGTGATTGTTTGTCTGTGTATCTTTGTGTGTCTCGCTCCTCTGCCTCATTTAGCATCCACTCACTCCTTTTTCTCCTTTTGTATTTTTTATCTTATTTCCACAGACTCCACAGTTGTGTTGCTATGACGACCGCGGCCCCTCCCTCCTTCTTCCTGCTGTGTTGGCTGCTCCGAACCGCCAGCTCGGCGTTCCCAGAGGAACCGGGGCCCCTCAACTTTATCCCCACTGAAGGTATTGACCTCCTGACTTTCTTGCCCTCTAGCCGCCTACTCCCCTCCGTGCCTCTCTGCCAGGTCGTGATGTGTGAGGTGTGGGGGTCACGCCCTAACAGGCAGGGTGTTGAATTAGGGAGAGGCCGTGGAGGAGACAAAGGTCATGATGTGGGCTGTGGCGGTCAGACATGCTCTCACACGAAGGGTGTTGACTAGGGTCCAGATCAGGAGGTGTGGGGTCGCACTCAGGAATGAGACCAGAGTGTCTGTAGGGGCTCTTGAATTCATGACTTTCCCACACACACATTCAGACCCTCAAGAGACGCAGCTCCTTACACACTCAGACTTTGAGTCTCCATATCAGCTTGGCAGTCTCCAGCTCAGACCAGACCTTGATTGATTGCAGTTCAATAGTATTGATTGATGGTTTCGCAGTTGACTCCAGACCCTTCTCGAGGTATCAGTGCCAAACAGTAGAGTGTAGAGGTTGACAGGCTACTGAGGGCTACAATGGAGAAGCTGCATTAGACTCAGCAGCTGTGGTTTACAGCAGGTATAAGTTATAGTAGAAAATACAGGTTCATCTGGAAGAACAGGCAAGACAAATATAGGCAAGTGTGGAGGTGGACAAGGAGAGAAAAAGCAAAGGACAGTGACAGAAAAGAATGGTTCACAGTGGGTTCAGGGATGGAGTGATGTAGATACAATAGGACGAAATTACAGGATAGAAATCAAGCAGAAGCAGACAAAACATAGAGGTTAATAAGAGGAGAAAATTAATGGACTATAGGGTGGGATGTGAAGAATTAATGATGGAAGAGCAGAGAGAAAATGAATTTGAAATGATTTCAGCTGAAAATACTCAGTGCAGTCAAGGTCAAAGACAGATAGCCATACAGGTTTTATATAGTAATTTATGCTTCTCTCTTCTCCCGTTTTCTCTCTTTGTCTTTTTACATTTGCAGGACAACATGATAAAAACATACTGAAAATGCTTTCCAATGTTATGTTCGATTTCTCACATTACTTCTTCAAACAAACACTGTTTTACTTTTTTAATGTTTTAAAATGTCACCTGCCACATGAGGTATAGTTTAGACCTTCTTTGTTTCTTGTACCTCAGTTTGTGCTCTGCTCTGTGTCTCTGAATGCTTAACGTAGCAGATATGCTCAAATTTTAACTCACCTTACACCAGTTATTGCCGCTGAACTGTCAAAACAGAGAACACAAAACCACTTTTATGTTGACTACTTTTGTAAAAAAGATGAATGTCAGTTTGGGATCAGCCACTGTGTGCTTCTGTCTCTCGTTCACTGACAGTGGTGAGAAGACACCCAGTGTTTCTGGGCCGACCCCACCGAACATGGCTGAGACAAGAGCCTCTACACATCCAGAGGATCCTCCAAGTCAATCGGACACTCTACATCGGAGCCAGGTACAACGAGCATCAGCACATGCACAGACATACTAATGGACTTACAGTAGCAGTTCATTTGTGGCTTCATCTACAGTGAGAAAAAGCTTTGAGAAATCTGGGACCTATGATATCTCTTTGATTGCTTGCATGACACACTTATACAAGTACAAATATAGTTCTGTCAGAGACATTTTCAGCTTTAATATCAGTTGGAATGTCTATTATCACTAAGTTTGTTGCCAAGCAACATTAGCCTTTTCATTGGACATTATTTTAGGAGTTACAGCGTCTGAGCCTCAAACCCAAATTTACTAATAAAACATACCATCAGTACTGCTGTAAAGAGGTTAAGTGTTGATTTTTGAATTGATTAATTGTGAAGGACTAAATAAAGATGGTCCTTAGTTGCTAACAGGACAAGTTTATATAGTTTATTCAAGAGATATATTTCAACTCATATATCAACTCCCGTCTCATAACTGTCTACAAACAATATCTCTTTAATGGAGCAGTTTATATGGCAGAGTAGGGTTATATAAAAACTGGATGGTACAACACAGCTAAGCTACCTTAGCTTCCTCTGTTTTGTGTTCCATTGAATAGTTTTACTTTCCCCCTTTGAATAAATCCACTGATTGAGGCAGTTGTTATCAGTGTATTGATTTCTCTGCAAAATCTTTAAATGCTAATGCCTAACAAACATTATTGAAACATTAAAACTTGGAGGTCAATTTTTCTTACACAGTTAAGTTAATGTCATAACTTTCTTACTAGCTATTCACAAGTTCTGTAATGTATTTTGATAACTTGGTAAAATGAATGCACTAGCTGCAGTACGATCACTTCAGAGACTGCAGAGCTGAGGGTTTTGTTTTTGCAACCAATCTGTCAGTAGCTTCATTTGAAGGCTGATATTTGGCCCAACAAATGTTTTCTAGGTCCCCATATGTCTGTCAGTCTGGAGAATGTGCTGATAGACAGACAGTAGCCCTGGTGGTCAGGAAGGCCAGTTGAGGACGGCCTGCTCAGCTGCACCAGGTTTACTTTGTAAAGCTACATCTGCTGCTCCCCGGAGCCATTCACGAGCTGACCTAAGACAGACTGCGTTAACAAAAAACATACACCTCAAGATTTACTGCCAGTGTTGTCCAAAAAATAATTTAGCTTGAAACATGCTAAAAAATGAGACACAGTCAGTTTCCACATATGGCGCTGGTTATTTGCTGTAATGGCAGCCTGAAAAAAGATTGAAGTGGTTTCCAATAAGAGACGCCACTGTGGTCCAGGAAATGACCCAGTCCCTGGCCTCCAGCTGGTCTAACCTCACTACTGAGAGTTGGTAGTAAATATATCAAGCTATGTAACATGGTTCCAGCCATGCTGTCTGCGTGAGAGGGTCTATAAGCACGCACATGCACACAGCCCGATAGTAAAGCTGCCCACAGACAACTACTGTACAGCTACTGCAGTCTGCAGCTCTAAAATATAAACAGAGCCATGAAGCAGGTTCAGAAACTTTAATTTCAATTTACAGCTGCAGAACCTCTTACTGAATAGCAGAGGTAAACTGATATGAATGTCTCAGCCAACCGGATGATAATGAAATGCAAGACTGACAGGCAGAAAGATGAGAGGGGCGACAGGGTTGATGGCATCATGAGAAAGAGCATTCCAGGTGTATATTTATATATTTCTCGTAAGTAGCTAATAGTGTTTGCAGCTTCCTGACAGAAAATGATCAGTCTAGGAAACAGATCCATGTGCAAATGCTTGTGTGAACCACACACGGCCCAGCAGGGAGGCAGAGCTTTAAGATGTATAATGTATAAATAAGTACCTGTGTGGTGGCAGGTATGACTGCCAAAAGCTGCTACAGAGTGTATGGCCTGATAAGACGCCTCACTCATCCCCAAATCCTGTCACCATTAGCATAGCTGCACCTCAAACTGCATGCACTGCTAAATCCCTGCCCCAAGCACCTGCTGAGAGCAGCTACCTCTCCCTGTCCTCTTCCCATCCCTGCTAAATGAAAGTAAACTGTGTATTTGGCTGGTGGCAGGTGTAGTAAAGCACCTTGCTGTGTTAAGCCCCATTTCATTGCTGTCAAGATGAGCAGCTGTGGATCCTGTGGTCTTCAGCCCTCAGTCAGATCCAAAGGTCTAATCCTCACAAATATAAACCAATTGGCAAGTGTTTACCTATTGACAAGATGACCGAAGGAATGAAGCCAACACCTTATTAAATGTTCCAATTGTGATAAAGTGTAAGAGGTTATTGCCACCTGGGTCTGTGTGTGTGTTTACGTTTTAGAAAGGGAAAGTGTGTTGACTGACTGCCAGGTTGGATGTGGTTCAGTTTATTAGCCCACAGACACTTACCTCAGAGGGCACTTGGGGTCACAAGGAGGTCACAGCCAGGTCAAATGCCTCATGGCAGACGCACAGCGAGGACGCTCAGTTGTGGCAAAGACTGGGAGGCCTGGGAGGTAAAGCTGCCAGGCTCTTTGGCTATATAGCGGCTGACAGAGAAAGTTTAGCATGCAGACGAGGACACGTGGGCAGAGACACACAGGTGAAGACACCCACATTGACACATACCACAGACACTGTTCCCACACTATATACAAGTATTATAAACTATGTATTCTGGACTAATCAGTGAACAACAAGTTACTGCACTTTGCCAATGATACAAACTTTGCAAAGCTACTGTTTTAAATTTTGGAAATTGAACTAATGATATAATTAATATAAATATATAATGAGTCTTTTTATTAGCAATTAATCTATTAATTATGTTCAATTGGTTAAGCCCATAAGCAACAACTTAACATGAACTGAGTAGATCTGAACAGACCAAACACAAAGGGGAACATATATAATGGCTGATCAGACACAAAGACAGACACTAACAACTATATTTCTACAACCACAGAAGATGAAGGATACCAGAAAATATTCACATGTAAAAATCTGTGAGCCTTTTTATTCTTTTTAAATTATGATGAACAAAGTTGTTGGTAAAGCTGGTTATTTTTCTGTTGATTTTCTAGCCAATTAGTCAATCAAATGTTTCAGCTCGAACCCTTGACAACAACAGAGAAAACAACAAAATACACAGAGAACTCTCTCTTCACAATTTCTGCATTGTGTCCATCACATGGAAAATACAAACAACCTAAGAATGCATTCTGTAGGTCTCTTCTGTGAAGTAGGTCTTTGCCCAAAACATTGCTCCCTCAGTGAATAGAGGGTAATGCAGGAGTTTTGAGAGCACTGCATATTCACTTCTTAGAATATAGTATGTAATATCTAACTGGGACACGGCTACTTACTCAGGCACATCTTTGCAGACACCCAGTTACATGCAGACTCACACACAGACATGCCACAGAGAACTCTGCCTCAGTCAGCACAAGTGTCAGGGTAACTAGGTGGTCAGCTCAAATCTTTCCATCCCAGTTTCATCCAGTGGAGCAGATTTTCCCGCACACTCTATTTGGAGGCTCAGAGAGGCTCAGCGCTGCTCACACTAAACCACAGTACGGCTGCTAGCAAGAAGAAGGGTAAGAAAACAAAAAAGAAATATAAGAAAACTTGGCGGCTTAAGGTGTCGTGACCTTGAGTCTGCTGTTGTTTGACAGGCCAAAGGGAGAAAGTTCATGAGCTGGTCAAGTCAGAAATGTAGGAAATGTTGACAGTTTCTCTTGATTCTTTGTTGACTTTGTATTAGCCAGGTCAGAAAAAAGGTTGGAGGCGTTTATGAAATAACAGCAAAGGCACGCGCTCATCCTACACACACATACACACACATTCACATAGAAGGAAATACGAGACTTTTGATTTGTAGGTTTTAAGACTAGATTTTGTAAGCTGAGGCGCCTTTGTAAGTTACGACCCCATATAACGATTCAAGGCTATTCAAGGCTGCGTGCACATCCTGCAACATAAAGAATAATGAAATCTTTACACTCTTCACATCTTAGTCCTTACTCTGAATCCTAACCTTCTACATACAATGCACATTAAATCCACTAATGCACATATAAACAAACATAGGCCACAGGCTTTGCATCATTCAAACAACCTGGAAGGCAAGAGAAGAGATGGAGAGAGAAAGAGAAGCAGCAGCATAAATAATTCCCCCTCCTCTGCACTATCAGAGGCAACAGTGCTGGCTGCCAGCCACTCTGACTAGGAGGCCTGGTGCTATATTCATTATGTTAATGCTGAGACAACGCTGAAGCAGCCTGGATGAGATTACGCCTCACACTCTGGCCCACTCCACTGTTGGAGAACGCTTAAACTCTGACCTGTTAAACAGGGACGCACCAAGCAAGTGTTGGGTGATTTCACACTTTTCTGCCACTTAGTCGTTGTCCTGTTCTGCGAGGTTGAGTTAAGAGCAGGAATCTTCTAACACACCAGCAGGAAGTGAGGATGAATTATTCAGGAGTGAAGTAACCTGATGGCCTACCTGTGCTCTCATCATGCACACATCTCTCACAGCTCTCTCTTTCAGAAAAACAGATACAAAACACACACTGATGCGCACACTCAGTTGGTATGAATACTCACATGAGCAGGTGTACATGGATTCGCGCATGATGACTCCTCCCTCTGTCAGAGAAAACCAAAAGAACATGCATCACAGATGGGAGGCAGAGCTGGATCAGAGATGGGATCGATATGGCTGCAATAACACGGTTATGGAAGATTTACAGATTAGCCCATTCAGAGTCTGGCCCATTGCTTAGATGAAGCTCAAGCTTCAGATCCATCCCAGCAGATACCAAGGCCTTGATCAATATGCGAACGTCAGCTTTTAGCTGCCTATCCCAGCTCTCATTTAGCTGGCATTTTCACAGGAACATCCAAGGTTACTGCAGAATTATCAGCAGATTACGAGTGCGAGAAAGCTGTGTTTTGGATATCATGAATACATGCATGGTGTTGGACCACATCTAGGCAGCATGTGGTGGTGTGCAAGCATCAGTATAACAACTTGATTAAATCATCCATTAATTCAATTTCAGGCTTTTGAATAAGACTGATAAGCTGAATTTGGGGCCTAGGAGCAAATTCAATGCAGCAAGTCAAGTTTAATGAGCGGAGGCAAAAGGCGAAGGGGAAATATGAGACATCATTATGCAGTCGGGTACAATTTCTCATAGATATTGGGAGAAATGGAAGACATTGTAAAGCTGTTCCCTAATCTCTGAGGGTTTGATCAACTTAAAACGAATAAATGTTTCTAATATGTATGCATTACATAGCTGCACGCACTGAATTATTTAGTATTAAAACTGCACAGATTCAATAGATAGTGGAAATACTCATACTCTTTATACTTTGTATTAAATGTGTAGCCTGGATTTCATCCAAAAGAAAATCTGCATCGACCTGCACTGTCCTGAGCTTGCAATAATATCTATGCTGTACTTCTACTGTGGAACTGGTATTCATGGTTTGCTTAGTGCAGTATCTTAAGCTTTGGATAGTGCTGTGTTGGCTGACTGCCACTCTCTCTCTCTTTCTCTCTCCAGGGATGACCTTTTCCGTGTGGAGTTGGACATTGTTGCAGGAGACGAGATGTTCTACAGCAAGGTGACCACCTTCTGGACAGACACCGATAGCATTTACAACCTTTAGATGGATGTATTACTTGTCATTAGGCTGGAAAATGTCATTTTCTACTACAGGGGAATGCAAATGTAGTTAACCAGCAGTGCATGTGTGTTTTTAACCTACAGAAAAGAACATGGGAGTCAAACAAGAATGACATCAGGATCTGCAGGATGAAGGGCAAGCATGAGGTGAGGCAGTGCGTCGGTTCCTCCATCTTGTTTTTCGTAACAGATATATTCTATCTTTCTCTCCGACTCTCTAATAATAATGTGCAAACAGCACATGAAATCTGCATTCATTGATTTTTTTTGGCCATATGGGGGCAGTTCAACAACCCATAAACACAACATTGACATTGATTTAGCAAGTATTATTGCAGTATTAACAGTTGCTTATTCAAACATCCAGCAAACACAGAGCAACATTAGCTTTCATTTGGAGTCCGGTCACCTGGCACTTACAGTCATTTAGCTCTGTTTTGGTCTCTTCCAACTCCTGAGCAAAATATATGGCTCTTTACCTGCTAAATGCTCCTTTATATTCACCAGGTAGTCACTAATTGAAGTATACAGTTGTTTTTTTTTCACTGAAAACAGCTACATGCTAATGAGAGCTGTGAGATTGAACCAAAACAGTAAAGTTGCCAACAGTAAAACCAAAACATTGAGTTGAAAGATTCTAAAATGCTCCATAGAGCTGTGGAGTGGAGTGATAATTGTCTTTGGCTTTGTCACTTTGAGCAACCCTTTTTATATACAAGAACTAATTTGATCTACTGTTAAGATAAATGCATTAATTAAAGGTGCTTTAAAGAGCGTTATCCCTTTTACATTAAAAATGACCAAGCTGTGGTTTGTAAAAAGCACTATTTGTAATGAAAAACAAGATTTTATCAATGTTAAATGGTCCAACATCAGATCAAATAATTAATAGTACGAAATCTGGCTGAAAAACAGACTTTAAAATACCATTTGTAGCACAAAAACTCTCCTCACTTATTGATTTTTAACTTGCTTTAGCATCTCATTTGCATTTTCTCACCAATTATTTTCTCTTTCTTTTACTGGAAGCATTTTTCTGAGTTGTTTCTCAGAGTAGTCAACAATGTTTTTTGCAGCCTGAAACACAATAGGGTTTGGATGCACACAAGCATAAAATCTGGGTAAAACCCCAAAACAAATGGAGATTATATGCAAAGATTACATAGTTTAAAATTACAGCTCAAATGTGGATGGATGACAGTTTGTCAGTGCAATATATTGCAATCATGGGTAGTCACTCAAGAGTTTTTGTCTTAAGCTATCCCTCTGTATCTTACAACCATTTTTTACCATTTTTGCCTGGAGTCATCTGACTGCTGACTGCTGGCACAGCCTTAAAGGGGGGGGTTGATGGTGTGTTATCTCATTGTCCCTGCTTGTCTAACCCCGTCACACACACACATCGATCAGAAGAACAGAGCCACTCCTACCTATACACCACTTGTTCCACTATCATAAGTTAGGAATGCGGTTTGTGCCCCCAGAAAATGCAGGTGGGCGTTGGGAACTGAGGCGGTGAGGAAGAGATGGGGTGAAACGTCCCAGCAGCCCCCAGCAGCCCATGCCTGAATACCTCTTATACCTCCAACACACACATCCCTAGCTGCTGTCTGCCACACATAAACAGCCCGTATTCAATGTGTGTGTGTGTGTGTGTGTGTGTGTGTGTGTGTGTGTGTGTGTGTGTGTGTGTGTGTGTGTGTGTGTGTGTGTGTGTGTGTGTGTGTGTGTGTGTGTGTGTGTGTGGGTGGGTGGGTGTGTAGTGGTGATGGTTGTGGTTGGCGGCGGAAACATGGGCTCTGTCCCCTCCAGGCACAGAAAAAAATGACTTATTTAACAGAGTGAGAGAACACCTGACATTAAATCTGTGTGAGACAGTGCCAGACAGAAACACAATGGAGAATAGAGGGACAGCGACAAAAAGCTAGGCAGAGAGGAGGGGGACAGAGAGGTGAGAGAGGAGAGGGGGGGTAGATAAAGAAGGAGAGGAAAGAAAAGAAAAGAAAAGGAAAGGAGAGGAGAGGAGAGGAAAGGGAAGGAGATGAGAGGAGCGGAGAGGAGAGGAGAGGGGGAGTGTGTGGGTCCCTGTTGGCCGGCCCTGAGGAGAGCTGTGGGGCTGACTGAGATATGAAAGGTCTTCTTGCCCCTAATGACTTTGCTGCCTGGTAAGGCTGTGAGTCACACGGCAATGTGAGGAAGATAAGAACACTGCCAGATCCTCTCAGTCAGCTCTCTGGGCTCATGCACATATGAATGGATGTGCTTGTGTGTGCATATGCATGAACACACAAGCGCATTACACACACACACACACACACACACACACACACACACACACACACACACACACACACACACACACACACACACACACACAATCACTGTGGCACAACTGATACTGATTTCTAAAAGCCGATACAGATTTTTAAATCACTATATTCAGTGTTTTTTTGCTAAGAATGCAATTATTTTCATTCCAACTAACAGCTGCTGAAAAAGCATGAAAAGGTTGGGACTATACATAACTGGCAATATAATATAATCCTGTACAGCAACAAAACAACCTTCAACACCTCTCCAAAACAGTGTCAACAAAAAAGTCTACATTTTAAAAGTACCCTGTGGAGTTTCTGTCTAAACAAAGTTTACATTCAGGGTTTCTCACCAAAACACATCATGTTTAAGGGATTTCCATTCTCATAAAACATTTATATCCATTCCTTTCTTGGGCAAAACTGCATTGTTTCTAGCTCTCTGTCCTCTTCTTCCTTGCATGTTGCTGGTGCATCACTTCTTTTTTTGGCATGTTACAGCCATGCAGCCATACTGCATGCTTGTGCAGCTGCATGTTTGTCACGCTACAAAAGATTAGGGACCCATTAATCGAAACATTATTAACACTGTTAGTGGTCAAAAACACCACAGAGTACATTTAAGCTTCATAAAGAAAGTTTCAAAAAATGATATTGTGATAAAGTACATTTTATGGAAATTCCATTTATAGATAGAATAACAAAACTTGAACCAGTGCTTACTGGGCCAATGTGTCAAACTCAGTAATGATGATGTATTAAAACAAATACCTCAATATCAATAAAATATTGAATGATGTGAATGTTGCTCCTGGTGCTTAAGCCTAAAGCCTTTTAAAGTAATTTGTTATGTGAACATGAGGACCAAACAAGTGCAATAATTTCCTGTTTACTTTATTGAGCTATAACTAACACCTTGGCAACTACAATTAGGAATTACATATCCCATGTGAACCTACATCTCAAAAACAGAGGTGTGCTCTATTGGATATCATTGTTATATCTGGATTCCCTTTTGTCAAAATAATTAGCCTAATGAAGCCTGGCTTTATCGTTAAATCTCTGAATTGGACCTAAGTGCGCAGAGCCTTTTTTCTCTTCATATTAAATTATTTTGGCTTTTTTCAATGCAGAATAGTGTCATAGTTTCCCCCCAAAGAAAATACTGAGCTAAAACACTGGAATAAAATGGAATCAGAAAGCTTAGCTGTAATGCAGCCTTTAAGACTTGGAAAAGACATAATTTCAAGGTCCAGTGTGTAACATCTAAGAGGATCCATTGGCAGAAATGATATACAATATGTTTTCATTAGTGTGTAATCACCTGACTGCAGCATAAGATTGCCAGGGTGTTGTTTTTGTTAGCCGATATTGCCATTTTGATCATCATGTTGGAAGTCGGCTTGACTGAATATTTAACAAAATAATCTTTTTCTGACTCTAATGCACTCATACACATGGTTCTTACACACATGTAGGTGGGATTACCAAGCCTCACGTACATTATACTGTATGCTCATACATATTCATAATTTTGAGTTTCTTTATTTATCTGCTCTCTCTTTGTTTCTCTCGCCTACACATACATGAGCACAATTAAAAAGGAAATCTCAACAAACACATCTGTCAAGAAGTAATTTTCTATGTGCCTCCATACCCGCCCTTCCTCCTCTTTCTCTCCTCCACTTCACCTCCTGAAAATGTCCTGTTCTGCTTGGGGGTTGGTTGTGTCAGATGTGACACATTCACCACCTCGTAATTGGTTTTGTAATTAAATGTTTCTGCTTGGTTGATCACAAAGGACATAGTATTCTCCCTAATTAGGCTGAAAATTCAATATCCTAATTCTTTTGCCTTTTTTCTTCTCCCATGTTGACCAAACGATTGTTGATGAATGCAACAGTCGGCCTCACTGTCACTCACTCTGCATATTTCCGTCATATTTTCCTTTGTCCTCTGCTTTCCACTGTCTCTTCATCTCTCCTGTATTTGCCCTTTTCATGTGTCTGCCATTCCCTCCACTTGTTCTTTCCTTACCTTTCTCTTCCTATGAAAGCAAAAGAGAGCAAGAGATAGAGGGTGAGACGTTCTCCAGAGGTGGCTCTGTGCCAACACATCAGGCCATGGCAGTGTGGCATGTACATGCAAACAAAGGCAATCCCGTATAGAGCGCTTTTAAAGAGCGGTTGGGCATCGTTATAAGCAGCACTTAGCGAGATTGTTTGATCAATATTGCGTTGATCGTGCTCTCCAAGGAGCTCCGGGTTTTCAATCGTCCAACCCAAATGCCTTTTCTGGACAGGCAGAAGATTCAGTTTCACAGCTCTTTTTTTTTGGGCTCCAAAATTAATCGATTTGAAATACCACATGTGGACTCACTTTCATTCCTTAGTTGTGGTCCCTTTTTTTTTAGCTCACCAATGCTTCATATGTAGAAAGTATCTTGTTTCTCTGCCTTTCATGTTACTGTACATTGGAGTCTTTGCTACTTCAAATGTTTTGTTTTTCTGGGACAAGATGAATTCAAGTTCAACCTTTATTGTATTTTCACATCACAGAAGCCCATTCACCAAAGCTATCACCAAACTCACAACACGATGCTGAGGTGCAAGAAGGTCAATAACATCAAATATGGAGAGAAGAAGGTTCTCTTAGTTCCAATGCAACAATGTAGTTGCGCAGAGAAATCATTTTTCCAACTGTGTGTGCAGTCTTTCTTTCCCTTTAATTACTCGGGATACTAATTTCCCTTATTTTGGCATTCTGTTTTGCTTTATCCTCAGTTCTTGTGAAGTGATATAATTGTTGGATCTATAGCTGTGTACTGCATTTCTTATGTGTACTTGCGTGACAAAGAAAATATCTGATCTCATCAAAACCTTTCGTCAGAAAATTTGCCCATTGAAAGTTTTGTGACTAAAAGCTGGCTTCATCATACAATAATTGCTTAACTGTGCTTTCTTTTCTCCAAATATCCCCCCAAAAGCCATTTGTCTTACGGGCAAGCATCTAATATCACATCTTTTAATCACAGTGAGGCAATTTCCCACCATTTTCTCAGCAGGTTGTCAGTCAAAGAGCTGTACATCAGGTGTTTCAGGTTAAGTGTTTTGGTCAACGATTGAATGGTGGTGGTGGTGGCGGTGGTTTGTGTGCGTGTGTATATGTGTGTTTCCACCAGGGAGTGGAGCTCAGCTGACCCCACGATCTGTAGGTCTTGTTGCAGGTCGGCTCCACCGCTGAGACTGCCACATGGCTGACTGGCCTGGAAAAACTCAATTGTTTTCTCTGTTTCTTCCTTTCTGTCTCTCTTTCCTTCACTCTCTCCCTATATCTCCCTCTCTCTCTCTTCATTTTCCCCCCCATCTCTATTATCTCACTTTCCCTCCCTCTCTCCCTCCCTCTGGTGTCTGATGTTTGTTTGTGGCCTGTGGTGTGTTCAGTCAGAATTACCATCAAACAGGAAAGAAGGGTTGCAGAGGGACGCGGATTAGCTTTAACATGCTGAGTAAGACCGCAGCACTCAGAACAGCACATTGCTGCTAATTTGGTACCGCTGTTAATTTATCCTCCACCCACATGCAGACAAACATACACACACACACTTTATTCCTGTCATAGAGTCACTGTTTTCAGTCAGAATTGTGCATTAGGGATTTTTCTGGAAATGACAAGCCTGTTGTTAATGAGTGGAGAATAGGGCTCGCCAAACCTTTGTGAGTGTGTATACAGTAAATGTGTGTGCATGTGAGAGTGTGTGTGGGAGAGTTCTGGCTCAATGGCGGCTCTTGGCAGGGCAATGCTCTCTTTCTCCCTGGTCGCTAACATCAGGGGACCAGCCAGGCATGTAATGGAAACTTTTGAGATTTAGAGGAGCAGCTTGCTAAATACGACCCCCTGATGTACTACCTTAGATGGCTCCTATTGTGCGAAACCTTACTAAAGCAGGTCATCATGATAACTTTTATGAGAGTATGAAAAATGCTGTTGTTGTGCCTCAAGCAGGAAAATGAGCAGAAGATTTTACGATGTATGAACCTGTTTTTTATTTTGGTTAGACCAAACATGGGAATGCTAATTATAGCCTGAAGTAAAACCAATGTTCGTTCAGGTTTTGGGATAATGCCTCATCATTAGAACAAACACTGAGCCCAGGCTTAGGTCAAATGAAAAGTTGTTTATCATCTCAGGCTAAAGGTTGAGTTCCGGACAAAAGATGGAAAGCAGATGCAGAATGTGGAACCTCCTCGGTTTTAATGGCGTATGACTGCTGCAGGTTGTTTTAAGCAGATGTGTTGTAGCAACAGAGAACTTGTTGTCGATCCTCTGACTGTGTCTGTGTGTGCGATCGCTTGCATTATATGTCTATGAATGCCTTTGGTGTGTCTAAGGAAAATGTCTGTGCTGAGAATCCAACAGGGCGAGGAATGCACTTGCTCAATCAACATCTGCAGAGTACAACTAGCCTAGCCAACATCTGCCTTAAGGGCAAGACACTGATTAAAAACCTTCTGCCTGCGTAATGTCTAGTTTATATAAATGCTGATTCACATATGCAAACTTGCTCACAGACACACATACACACACTCCCTATCTTTCCACACTCGTTCTTCTTTAAATCTCCCCTCCATTCACAACTACGTCCATATTTGCACTCAGACGCGTGCTCCTGTGTAATTCATCTGTGCTGCAGATGAATTTTTCAGAGCCCAGGCAGCTCTGCTGCTGTCAGTAAGAGGAGCAGGAGGAGGAGGAAGAGGAGGAGGAGGAGGGCTGCAGTCGTCTGGGTCTCGGGAAGGCTTGCCAGCCAGCACAGGTGGCGTTTTGTCTGGATTCTGCCCAGGGAGCGAGGGAGCAGAGAGAGGGGAGGGAGGCAGTAGGGGAGAAGAAGGAGGCAGCAGGACGTACAGCATTTGGATTTATATCTTATTGTTTAATTCATTGATTCACTGCTTGATCCTTTGTAATTGGTTTATTTTTTAATGTGGAAACCATAGTAAAACCCTATAATCCTGATGACTGAATTGGGCTTTGAATAAAGCAAGACCCATACCTGGAAGTGCCAAATTGCTTCCCAGAATAAATGAATAAGGGTTAATGAAAAGCATGTATGCAGCAGGGGAGGAATTTGGGTGATGTCTTTAAAGTGCAAATGGCAATCAAAACTCAATAGTTGAAATGTTATGAAGTATACAATCCTTGTTTTTTATCCTGTAGTCATGAAATGTTTAATTTTATGTGTATTTGCACTGCCAAATGTGCACATTTGTGCAGTGGTTTGGCTCCTAGTATTTACTCCCCTCTCTGAGATGCTGGCAGTGGGACTGGGTTGTTATTAAGAGTGCTTCATCTGGCTTTGTGATTACAGCTCTGACCAAGCTGACAGACTGCAACCCCACCGACAAACAGCATGCAAATGATTCTCACACATGAGCATGCATCTGTGCTGTGATACACAGATGCACCCAAACATATATATGCACCAGGCACACATGAACACATGCTGTATGTGGGGGAGTGACACTCACACACACAAATACTGTCACAGCCGCTCCGCAATTTGTCACAGATTGCTGCGCCATTAGAGATTTACACCTCACACTTGACACACCCCCTGCACCCCAACACACACGCACACTCTTTACACTCACACATAAAAACACTTCCTGCTTTCCTGTTTTTTTGCTGTTGAAAACCGAGAACCCTGCAGGGAGTGAAGTGGGAAGGTGGAGGGGTAGAAGGGTGTAGGGTGGAGCATCTGGAATAACACTCACCCGCCTCTCATATCACTGCTTTCCCTCTGATCTCTTCCACACACACACACACACACACACACACACACACATACACACGTACAGACTGTCATTTGACATTCCCGCTATCACCACCACCGCTTCTGCTCCAGCCCTACTTCTCTTTCCGATGACATCAGTGTGGGTGGTGGTCTTGAAGTAGACCCCATCTGGTTTGTGTGTGTGTGTGTGTGTGTGTGTGTGTCAAAGCTGGTGCCATCCTGGCTGGGACACTAGTAGTTTGGGGAGGGGCTTGCTGGCGGCTGCTCACCAGTGATCTACTGTACATCATCACCCCTCACTCTACACACACACACACACACACACACATATGCACACAGGTGGTGGACTCGGCTCTGCAAAGACAAATTGCTGTCGGTACTTTTTGGCTTTTAAAGTCAAAGGCCATGACTGGAATAATATCCATGGAAAAATGTAAATTCCTGCACACACAGATTTGCGTATGTGTTGATAGGTTCGTTGTTTGTTTATTATCATGTTACTTTTTGGTCATAAAGCCCTTGAGCCAGTCGTTCCCAACATGGGGACATGTTTACCCCAAGTCTGTGGGGTCACATGATGATGAAAGAAAGAACAAAACGCCTTTCTATTTACCCATACTGGAAGTATATTTATATTTTGCTTAATTGTTTTCTTAATAGCCCTCACAACTCATGTTGTCAAAATCTGTGGTGAGAGGTCACTATTCCTTCATTTTAAGTCCAAAAAGAGAACCACTGCCTTAACATGTGTACACCACATGTTTATATGCAAATTGTTCAAATTTGGCCATTAATGCCCATATCTTTTTTTCTGTATTTATAAATTCTATTTATCCTTTAATAATTGTTTTTCTTATTTTCTGCATCTTTATCTCAATCAGACACATGTTGCAATTGAGAGTGCATTAAAGCGAGTTAACAAGCGAGCAGTGAAGTCTAATCAGTTAGGATTAATTGTCAAAATACAGTAAATAGCTAAAAGCATTGAATAAACAGTTCAAATAGTTGAAAATATAAATGGATACATGGATAAATGCTTAAATAGTTACCATAAAGTTGTGCTATAGGTGCAGCACTGATCATCACATCAGTGTAAAGCATTCATCAGAGGTCACATGTGTTCATTTCTACTTTAAGCACTATAGTTTTGTTGAGGCAGCAGATTAGCTTGAAGTCATTTTTCTCAGTTTCACTACAGCAACATTTATTACTTTCTGGCACTGTGGGGCAAAAGCAGCCATTAAGTCATGTGGTGCTTACACAACTTCTCGTTTCAGAGAATACACATGGAAGAATGAAACTGTGACTTTGGTTTATTTAGTCATTAAGCAGGCTTCATGTAGTTAGACGCCTTACAGTGGAGAAATTAGCCTTAAATCTTTTGCTTGTTTTAAAATCCTGAAGCTGGTTTGGATTACCGACTGTCAATCAGCGGCAGCTGTGCGTGTGTTAGTGTGTGTGTGTGTGTGTGTGTGTGTGTGTGTGTGTGTGTGTGTGTTTGCATGTGTGAAGAGGGTAGACACTTACAGTCTCTGCAGGCTACGTTCAGACTGTATCAATATGATTGACAGCGTTAATGGTGTGATAATTCCACACATCAGGCAACTGAAAAGCTTCATTTCACAAAGCAGTTTGGATAATCAGTCTCCGAAAAATAAACCCAGTTTTTCCTCTATTGGCTCCATCATTTTCCTTTCTTCCCTTCAGTTTCACCCCTTCTGCACATTAAGCTCTCCCTCTCTTTATTTCTCTCTTTCCTGCAGGATGAATGCCGTAATTTTATGAAGGTGCTGCTCAGCAGACGAGGAGGGCTGTTTGTGTGTGGGACCAACGCCTTCAACCCGCTATGTGCCAACTACACCGTAAGTAAAGGTCAAACAAGCTCGCAGCAAACATTACAAACCTGTGCTAATGTCCTTATAAAGTCATAATGACTCGTTTGACGTTATTGATAAATGCCTTGTCTATTTGTCCTAAACATAGGCCTCGGTATGGTGCACCTGTTCAGGTGAACATTTACAGCTTTATTAGAGGTGTTTGTTCAGCACTCCATGCGGTGTTGACTTCCTCCCCAGGACTTATTTATCCATGTTGTCTGGCAGCTCCAGTGCCTTGTTTTCCTGAGATACAGCAGTTGTTATTTCTCGGTGGTTAAACTTTGTGGTCTGCCGAGCTTGTTATCATTGAGAGTCAGAGACGGATAATCAAGAAGAACACAAAGGGGAGAGAAGAGGAAGAGGAGGGTATTCAAAGAGTAAGGGTGGAGATGTGACTTGTTTGCCTGGTTGGCTTCCTTTTGCTCTTGGTTACAAACGCAAAGAAATTCCACAGTTGGAGGCAGAGGGATGAAGAAGCTACAAGTGTAAGTGTTGACTGACCTGATTCAAACAATTAGACACAGCTCTGAATATTTCCACCACTCTGTCCAAAATATGTTTGTCAGAGTCTGAAGCTTTGAATCCTCCACCATGCAGCATGCTCCACTTCCCAACCAATCCCTGTCGCGCTCAATTACAGTAACGATTTCAAACTTGGGGAGAAAAAAAACTACACATGAATATTAATCATTGGCTCGGTTGATTTCACATCGTTCTGCAGGAATATTAAATGAGGGATGAAGGCAGTTGAGTTGAAGAAAGTGAGTGGGAAAAAATCCTTTCACTATCAAAGACTTTTTCAGATAAGTGTTATTTTCAGTCTCTCACATTTCAAACATAGCGCAACAGTGGAACACTGAGACGTACCTGGCCCATTATCTGTCAGCCACTAATGACATTCTACAACAGTGTATAACACACCTGTCTCTTCCTGATAGGCTGTATGTTTCTCTGGAGACTAGTTAGCGATGCTAGCTACTGTTTTATTTATAGCTGGTTTTTAATGAAATGACACCTATAGATTTCAGCCGTGGATGAGAATAAGACTGTGCTGTTGAAATAGTTTGCTTTTGGCTAAGTGTATGTGTTTGTGAGTGTGTGTATGTAACAGAGAGAGATGCAGAGATTTCTACTGTGTGTACATGTGTGTTTGTGAGTAAGAGATTGAAATCAACTTGTGTGTGAATTTATGTGGGTGTATGGACCCCTGTGTATGTGTGTGTGTGTGTGTGGGTGGGTGTGTGTGTGTTTGTCTGTTTTATTTATGCATGAGAATGTGACTCCCTTGTTGTTGCTGCTGCGCCTAATTGCCACCAGTGAATCATTAGTTTGCACTTACGGTAACACTCCCTAATTGCCATTCTTCTTTGTTGCTTGTTTTCATGCTGCTGCTGTAGATTCATTTCTATTGTTTGCTGATTGATGCGTGCATGTGTGTGTTTATGTGTTTGTGGTGTAACAGGGAGACACTCTAGAGATGGTAGGAGACACGGTCAGTGGTATGGCGAGATGCCCCTATGACCCCAAACACGCCAATGTAGCTCTGTTTGCAGGTAAGACACACCTTTTGTTTTAGTCTATACTCCCTCATCTGCATGTGGGTCACACAGCACTGTGACACTGTATGCTGTCACAAATGTAGTTTTTGTGCCTTTAGTGATCACAGTGATAAATATCATTGAAGAATATAATTTTTCCTCCGTAAAGGTGTTTTTGACCCTTGAACAGGCTACATGCTGCAAGCTCAACAAGATTATTCCAGTTTCATTCATCTCCTTTGTTTACTTCATTGTGTTTAAACACTTCACTATAATCAAATCAACAGTGTTCTGTGGCTAAAACTGTAGGGAGCCATTACTGTTCAGCCATCATCCCATTATCTGATATTAGCTAGAAGTGAAAATGCTGTTTTTTGCGTGGGAGTGCTGCCAAGTTGCAATTATGTTACTGCAATTACATTGTTGAGTGGTCAGTCATGTCATGTTTATGATGCAGGACTTTTATAATACAGTAACGTTCACTCCAGCTTTATTGTTTGCAGTTATGCTGCTGCTTTCCAACTTACTTGTGTTTCTGTGTCTGTGTGTGTGTGTGTGTGTGTGTGTGTGTGTGTGTGTGTCAGAGGGAAATCTGTTTACAGCCACAGTGACAGACTTTCTGGCCATTGATGCAGTGATCTACCGTAGCCTTGGGGACAGTCCCGCTCTGCGCACCGTCAAGCACGACTCCAAGTGGTTCAGAGGTACCTACAGAGATGTGTGCGAGTGTGTATGTGTGCTTCTGCATGCCTGTGAAGGTGTATTTGTTTGTGTTTTGACAAGCGTAGGTGCGCAGACACAATTTCTTGAAGTACGTGTTCTCATCAGCAACGAGTCTGCTGTCGATGTTTCTGTCTAATGTTTTGAGTGTGGGTTCGCATCACTTACCAGCATGCAGGATCGATACATATGTCAGTAACAGAGGGCTGAGTCAGCAGCCTGGCAGCTCTGTGTTCAGGTCACTGGACACAAAGCTGTCAAACTTACTGCTCCCTGACAGAGTTTGACCATCCACATCATGGTCAAACGTAACAAAGACAATGGGACAGTGAAGAAAAATACACAGTATCAACCACATAGGTTGTAGCTGGTCCCAGGTGTAACAGCGCCAAAATGCATAGCGTGAAACTGAGTTCTCAGAAACATCAGGGAGTCATAATGCGCTTATTGTTTGGTGTGAAATCCCCTTTCACCATGTAATGAAATTAAGCAGGGCCTGTGCCTCTTTCCCACTGCCCTCATGTTACCTCGGTGTCATGGGAGTGAATGATGCAATTGCAAATGGAGACACTGTTTGCTGTATGCTTTCTCATGGTCCATGTATATTTCATCAAACCCTTTCTCTCCACACACCTCTCCTTAACACTTTACGCATCTCTCACTTTTTCTCTCTCTCACACAATATAGAGCCGTATTTTGTCAGTGCTGTGGAGTGGGGACCTCACATCTACTTCTTCTTCAGAGAAATAGCCATGGAGTTCAATTACCTGGAGAAGGTATAGAAGTCATTCTGATGAAAACATATCTTCTTTTCCCTCTGAACCCTCAGTATTCACACAGAGGAGCTGTCGGTCCATTTAGAGCATCTTTAAAAAGGACTATAGAGGAATATGTGAATGGGTCGTTAAAATGCAACACCATGAAAGGATATTCAAGTCTAATATCTCTCTGCAGCTATTATTTGGATGTCAATATCAAGTCTTTTCCCACAGCTACACTGACCTTTCATCCCCATATTTGTTTGTCTGCATATCTTATCCAACAAATCAAGGACTGAGCAAACAACTCATGTCTGTATTAACCTGAGAAAAGCCTTTTTTTTTTATAGCAACTCTCTATATTTCCTGCCCTTACCAGAGCTGGGGATACATCTTTATGAAAAAATATCACCATTAGGAAACCCATTTCTCTGATAAATTAGCTATTCACATTTGGGGAGAAGTGCTTGCACAAGGTCTCGGGCTTTGACATGTTTACAGTGAGCAGAGTAAATGGATACTTAAACAGCATCACCTTTGTGTTGACGAGGGTGTTCAAAGAAGCAATTTTGAGATTCACTGACATTTTCATGAATAATTGATATTAAATTTACCATTATAAAACAATGATCTGTCAAAACAGGGTTTTCACATTGCAAATAGCATGCAAATGACTCTTCAGAGATCACCCTGGAGTTGAAAAGAGCTTTTAAATATGCCCTTTTGAAGATGAAACCCAAAGCTTGGGAACTATATCCTACCTCCCCAGCTAATCATTGGAGTTATATGTGAACTGTGCTTACACAGATATGTCAGTATATTGCAGATGTATTATGCACAGTCATTTTCTATGCCTACATCTGCTTCTCTGTGCTTGAATGCTCACAGGTGGTGGTGTCACGTGTGGCGCGGGTGTGTAAGCGTGATCAGGGTGGGTCTCAACGTGTCCTGGAGAAGCAGTGGACGTCATTCCTGAAGGCCCGATTAAACTGCTCTGTCCCCGGTGATTCTCACTTCTACTTTAACCTGCTCCACTCCACGAGCCCCATCATCAGGATGCACGGCAGGGACATAATCCTGGGGGTGTTCTCCACTCCGGCTAACAGGTAAAACAAAGAAATAGAAACATAAATCAGTAAACAAACTACGAGACACAAAAAACACTCAAAAATGTGCACTCGAGGACAGATGCTCAAGTTCAGTTCTTTCCCCTTTTGTCAGTTGTACCCCAGAGCCCTGTCAAGTGAATTAAAGTACCCTTTTATCAACAATGCTATCTACTTAACCATTAGCTAAGCTAACTATTTCAACTGCTTATGTATTACTTTTAGCTATTTTTAAAAATTTCATTAAGTAGTAGTAATATATGATATATGGTATTAATAATAATACCATAACCAAACGATTTAGTTAACTATTTCAACCATTTATCCATTACTTTTAGCTAACTGTTGGAACTGTTTATCCATTTTAGCTAAAGTATATCTTATCATCCATTACTTTTTAATAAAGGTCACAAAATATCTGCTCACTTGCTAACTAACACTAGTTTGTCACATTCTTAACACACGGCGTTTTGCTGTTCCAGTTTTTTTTTAATGACTAGGCTACTCCTCAAATCACTACTACTAGGCTACTTGCTACCTTGCAATGTTTCCACGTACCCCAGAGTAGCAGATCCTGGTTGGGAAACAGTGTTCTATATCAATAGTCAACCTGTCTGTCTTCAAATAAGAAGATTTTTTGGTTTTCATGTATGTGTGCATACTTGTGTTTGAGGGATTTCAACCCATGTCTACGGTGGCCGACAAGGGCAAACGCGCTGCAAACGGCAAAACGCTTCAAATACGGGGATGATGCAAAACTAAAAACACACAAACACATAAAACAAATGTAACAGAAAAATGCGGCAAATACCAAAAACACACAAAACCCCAAAACAACTCCAAGAGAGAAACGCTGCAAATTCACTCGACAAAACGGAAGTGCGCCAGGCCACTAGGGGGACCCGACCTGAGGGATGAACCAGTCCTGTGGGACCAGACCTGAAAGACATGAAGAAGAAGAAGTAGAAGAAGAAGAAGAAAAAGAAAAAGAAGAAAGTTGGCTAAGTTTTAGAGAGGAGAGTAAAAAGGTATGTTTTCCTTTATGTCTTTTTTAAACACTTGGCCGTAATCTTTTATAATATTAATATATCATATAATTATAATATTCTTCTACTATTATAATTATATAATATATTAATATTGATAATATATTAATATTATATTATTTTTCTGATGGTATTATATAATTATAATATTCTTCTACTATTATAATTATATAATATATTAATGTTATATTATATTTCTAATATTATAATTATATAATATATTAATATTATAAAAGATTACGGCCAAGTATTTAAAAAAGACATAAAGGAAAACATACTTTTTTACTATCCTCTCCAAAACTTAGCCAACTTTCTTCTTCTTCTTCTTCTTCTTCTTCTTCTTCTTCTTCTTCTTCTTCTTCTTCTTCATGTCTTTCAGGTCTGGTCCCACAGGACTGGTCCATCCCTCAGGTCGGGTCCCCCTAGTGGCCTGGTGCACTTCCGTTTTGTGGAGCGAATTTGCAGCGTTTCTCTCTTGGAGTTGTTTTGGGGTTTTGTGTGTTTTTGGTATTAGCAGCATTTTTCTTTGGCATTTGTTTTGTGGGTTTGTAAGTTTTTGCTTCTGCTTCGTTTCTGTGATTGCAGCATTTTTCTGTTGCTGCGTTTTTCTGTTGCATTTGTTTTATGTGTTTGTGTGTTTTTGGTTTTGCATCATTCCCGTGTTTGCAGCGTTTTGCAGTTTGTGGCGCATTTGCCCTTGTCGGCCACCGTACATGTGTTCTCTAGAAGAGATAAAAGGGGATTCAATCTTACTGGTTGTATTTTTTAAGAAATTTACAGGCATAGAAACGCACCTCGACATACTTCCAGTGGAGACTGAGATAGACACCCAGTGTGCAGCAGCACACACACGGCTCACCTTGAAAATTACAGGCCACCGTAGTTTGTTCCTTCACCTATGAAGTCAGAAAGAGCAAGGCTTCCTACAGCCCAAACAAAGCTCCAGAGAAATGAAAGAGGCTGAGTGGCGGTACAAAGGTCAAGATTGTGGGGTACAGAGTAATTTAAGACACATGGAATGCTTTCATTGAGGACAAAAGGGTGATCTGTTGAAAGACAACATTAAATTGAAAAAAGGTGAGAGGAGGGGAGCAGAGAGGAGAGATGCTGCCTGTTAAATGGGGGATTATTGGAGACTGGGAGTATTTGCAAAGCCAAAGAACGCAAAGACAACACAAACAGCAAACCAGAGAAATTGAACCACAGAAAGAAGAACTTCTGAACCTTCTTTTGATGCACTAAACATGTATTTGTTTCTCCATTAGAGAGGTACTAATCTTCTACAGTGATGCTGTCTAGTGTTGAGTCTTAAATTTTCCTAAAACAAGTGAGAAAACTGCCAGTGGGATGAGATAATTCCCCTTGCTGCAAGTGCAAATAAACCCAACTGTTTTCTTGATACCTGATATGACTCTTTTCTGATACAGTTTGAGTTATCTACTTATTGCGCTTTGATGAAGGCACTTATTAAATGCTGCTTTTTAAAGCTAATTTTCAAAGTAAGAAAATGTTTAATTCTTATTGGGAGATTAAATTATTTATTAAGAGGGACATTGTAGTGTGTATGTTTGTGGGAACATCCACCAACATCCTTGAAGCTGCACAGGTATAAACATTGTCTGCATACTTTAGAATAAGGTATTGCTATGTTGCAGTCTAAGTAGCTTAAATTGTAGCCAAATTCAGTCAACTTTTTCTGTGATGGCCCACTTATCTTACACTGCCTGAATGGCCCTGACACCTCTTACAGTGTCTGGTAAGGCATACACATTGAAGCAAACAAATCCTTGCAACTGCCTGTTATTTGACTCTGCTCTGGTATCAATACAGAATCTCACTTAAATGCATCCAGCAGCATAACTATCACCTGTCCCAGTGCACTAACATCTCTGTTTTTTTAGGATATAAAAATAAGGCTCTATGCCAGCTGCAGTACAGTAGGCTTCTGACCTCCCAGTAAGATACAGGAGAGAAAAAAGAGAAGGAAAAAAAAAGAGAGATGATGAACAAATAAATGTGAAAGGAGACAAGACACAGAGGAGAATAAAGAGGGAGACAGGGAACAAGAGCAGGAGAGATGGATGAGAAACTCAAGGACGAAGAAGTCAATAATGGACAACACGTGCATCCCTCGCTCTGTGAGATCTAAAACTGTTTCATCAGCTGCATCTTATCTGCTTGTGTGGAAGGGCTACGCTGCGAGAAGGGGCCACTGCCTGCACAGACAGATGGATGCTTCACACAAACACACACACACTCTCCCACTCTCATACACAAACGCACGCATGCACAAACACACTTACAATGGTTACCAGATAACAGCATTTACAGCACACCACAGAGGAGAACCAGCTGAACACACACACCCCTGCCTGGGTAAACTGCCACTGGGTCCTGTTTTAAATAACTGCCAGCCAAGAGACAGAGAAAAAGGAGGTTTAGATGGATGGATAAGGACATGTGTGATGGAGGAAAATGAACACAAAGAGAAAGAGAGAATGTGTGAGGTGAGCTGCAAAACTCCCACTGGCCCCGTGTGGCCCACTGCGCCACACTGGCTAAGTGCTTGCCAGACAAATTGCTCTGGCTGGCAGCGTGCAGTGAAAACAGCATGAAGCAGGACCTGGGAGTGGAGGAATAGCTATTCTCCCCCTGCCATTTGGCCCTGTGGACTGTAGTATGGCAATAGCGGGATGAAGTCAAGGTTTTACTGGGCCCTCCCGGAGTCTCCCGTGGACACCTTGAAGTGTACTCATCTCCTCCTGTGCCCACATACTCCAGGGATAACTTTAAAGAAACATACCAGCTCCTCAACTGTTATGGAGTTTGAGGGATCCTTCATTCTCTGCTTCCAGAGTATAATATCTCCCCCAGTTGTCAGTTCCTTTGTGCATCCACCTCTGAAGCCCCAGGCCCTTCCTCTCGAGGAGGGATGAAAGAAGAGCTTGGATTTCCAACTGATCACCTCTTGCACTCATGCTCCTGATGCTCAAGAGGTCAAGGAGGCGCAGAGAGCAACAGCAAACTCATAGGAGAAAGAATAAGAATATGAGACCATTGGGGAGAGGAAAAAAGTACTTTCTGCTTTATTTAGCAACTCAAATAAATTGGTAAATGTGGAAAGAACAGCAGCAAGATGTCAAAGGAAAGGCTTACCATCGCCATGCTGCACTGGACTAGTACTGAAAACAAACAATTCTCATTATTTCTTAGCTATTGTTTTGGCAGCTGAAAATTCTTCAGTTGTAGACGGACGTGGGCTCATTAGGCTTAATGGAGCCAAGCAGGAATGCAGGGAAAACATCCCATGCAAAGTAAAGTAAATCCAGTGCATCCTGAGTGTGGGAGTCCATGTTTGGTTTTGGTTTTGAAGAAATCCCACTTGACAGGGTCAGACAGCAGGATGTCCCTCTGGGAAAACACAGCAGAGGAGGGGAAATGAGGAGGACAAGGAGCAGGAGGAGAACACGTTTACGGTACCAGGAGAAGTGTGACACAGGAGACGATGCACAGATGCACAGATGCGCAGGCTAGTCCCCTGGGCCTACACAGGTAGAGAAGGCTGGGGAAAACACAGTTTGGTATCTAGGTAGAGCTTGAGAAATGGGTATGGGAAAGGAACACCATGTGTAGTTGACAGCAGAGCCATGTCACAAGGAAAATACAGAGTTGTTAGAGAGGTGTTCACTGGTCCACATGGGTTAGGATAGTCAGGATAGGGAGAGAGGAGAATACCCACTGGGACCTGATGTGAAAAGGTCAAGAAAAAGAATGAAAAATGAGGTTGCTTGAATACAGAAAAGGAGATCAGATGAGAGTTTTGTGGTAGAATAAAAGAAAGAAAAAGGATGGCATAAAAGTTTAGGAGGTGTAAAGAGTCTCATAATTAGTCAAGTCAAAATAAAAATTCACATTATGAAAATTATGTAAGAAAAAAATACTACATTTAAACTGTTCAACTGGCAGGTTTGTACTATACTGTGAATGAGACTGTGTGGGATTTCTGACCTTTACATTCATAAACATTTGAATAGAAATTACATATCCCCAATGTGGTTAATTAATACAATATTTCACAAGGTCTTTATTTATATATTTATGATGAGTGTGGAAAATGTCAAGTCTCTACAATGTATCACAGTTAAAACTCTTATTAAAGGATAGACATTGAAACTTCCCCTGACTCCCACCTTCTTTCTCCTCTTCCTCGTCAACTCCTACGAGGCCTCATGTGTCCGTGAGGACCATGTTATTCCTAGCTGTCAGTGAGCTTGTTAAGCAGTGAGGAAGTACTTTAGACTCCACAGCAGCCCTCTCAAATGGACACCCTATGCATCTAGCCTGGACAGCCTGTCACTCAACCCCAGTCAAGGAGAAAGACTGAGGGAAGGACAAATGCCGATGGACAGAAAGAGAGGGACAAGCAAAAAGTGAAAGTAAACAAAGGAAAGTAGTCCTAAGTGTGAGGGCGAAATTTGTGTACAAGAAAACAACACACATGTACTGTGAAACAAAACCAGGAGAGAATACTGTGGAGTGAAAAGGAGAATAATTAAAAGAATTCAGAGAGAAAAAGTGCCCGAGGCCTTTTGGCTTACTTCTGTTAGACACACAGCCCTACACGGGGCAAACCCAGTGACCTGCAGCGAGAGAGAACTTGGGGGGGTGGGATAAGGTAGAGAAAGGAAGCCAAGCTGGCACCGATGCAGAGCTGGCAGACATGTCACACATAACATCTGGTGCCTGTGGCCCTGAGAGAGACGCCGTTTCGTCCACAGATATGCCTGCAGCTCTGCCACACTGGCCCAGGTTGAGTCACATCCCTGTCTATGAATGATAAGTACTGAAGGAGACGGCGTGACCTGATCAAATGGCACATCAGGAGACAACGGCTCCCTGCTGCAACCAAAATCCAGCCTTCAGGCGCTGCCTTCCCAAACAAACCCTTCTGTGGCTTTCAAAGGGGCACTCAACAGAAACACTGCTGCGGAATCATGGGGGCAGATCCTCAAATCACCAGTTGGACGTTTATTTTTTAAGACAAAAAGAGAGAAAAACTGCAAGAAACAGATGGGGTATGAGTGGGATTTATGTGGCAACAGGTTGCAGGTGACTCAGTCTCTCAGGTTTTTTCAGTGTGTGTGTATCACTAAGGTATTAGCACTTAGTCACTAGCTCTCACACCACGCACACCATTAGTCACTGACGAGGACACATTCAGAGCAGAGAGTTGAGTCTCGGAGCAGGAAGCATGGGATGTTTTTTTAAAACTCATCCCTTATCTCGTCCTTACACTGCTCTCTTTATTTCCCTGTCTCTGTAGTGCTTTCTGTAGCCAAAACACAAAAACGTTGCATTAATGAAGACATTTGTGTGAACTTGTCTGTGTGTATTTCTTTGTGTGTGTGTGTGTGTGTGTGTGTGTGTGTGTGTGTGTGTGTGTGTGTGTGTGTGTGTGTGTGTGTGTGTGTGTGTGTGGGCCATGGACACTTCTTGGAGCAGATGTTCTGATCACTGTTGCAGGGTTCACACAAGTAGTTAAACAGCCTCCGAGGTGCACCGGGATTTTTACTGGAATGTGTTGTTGGGTTTATGAGAATCTTCCCCCTCTTTTTGAAAGGCAGGATATTCAGTGACTCATTTCCTATTTCGTTTTATACTCCAGGAATTCCAGCCAAGATCTTTTCATGGGTCTAATCTAGCTATTGCATCCCCTGCATGTCTATTCTTTTCCCAAGGAGTTGACAGCGTCTGTCTTATCCTGTCTTTCTTTCCATCTCAGTAACAATTTCCTTTGTGTTATAGCATTGAATGTCAAAATATGAACAGCCCAAATCCAATTTGTCATCTTTGCTGGGTGCCTGTCGCTTTCTCACATTCACAATTGACTATATTTTAACTTCTTTCCTTTTTCATGTTTCACAGTCTATTTTTCAGTCCAGGTATCATCTACCTTATCTTTTCTTTCTCCGTCACTTATTCTTTCTGCACTCTGTCGAAAGTGAAACCCACTTGATGTATGACTGACAGCCATTTCATATCAGTTCAAAGTGTTTTATCAATCGACAGTCTCTGTCTTAATCTACCTCCATCTCACCTGTCGGTCTCTTTCTCTCTAGTATCCCAGGTTCGGCTGTGTGTGCCTTCGACATGGAGCAGCTGGCTGGGGTGTTTGATGGGAGGTTCAAGGAGCAGAAATCACCCGAGTCTATTTGGACGCCTGTTCCAGATGAAGTCATCCCGAAGCCAAGGTGCAGATGGCTTTAATCAATTTATGCACCTGTGTTCAGGTTGTTATCAGAGAACTGTAAGAAGGAAACAGAGTTATGAACAACTTGTATAAAATTCAGCTATAATACTGTTCTATAAAGATGTGTTTTGCTGATTGCAGTTCATGGCCAGGGTTTGATTTCATAACAAAAGGAAATACACACTGTACAAGCAACCACACATTTATGCTAATGGCCAAAAGTTTTAGTTGCAAGGTGAAACTGATCATACACACATGTAATGGAGAATGCAAAAAGATACTTCATATAATGTAACAGCTCTGAGAAACTTTATTCAGTAAACTGAAAGTCATGTAGATGTGAAAAATCCATTTTTTATAATGATGCAACTTGTTCACTGCAAATATAAAGGCATGTCCGGACCTCACGCCACCATCCATCACTTGCCAAATACTTCAAATTCGAGGTTCTAAATCAAATCAATCTCTTGTTGAAAAAGGGGGTATGTGTCTGAATGTGAGACACTCAGACCGTCTAGACAGCTTAATTATATAACTACATCTCTACTGAGGTCTGAAGTAGTCAAAAAGAGTATGTGACTTTGCCTCTGTACCATCTGCTAAATGTGTGCTGAAACTTGCTGTCTCCAGACCCGGTGGCTGTGCTGTTCAAGGTTCCAGGTTTAATTCCTCAAACTCGTTCCCTGATGAGATGCTTAACTTCGTCAAGACCCACCCTCTGATGGATGAAGCCGTCCCATCACTCGGACAAAGACCCTGGATAGTCAGAACCATGGTCAGGTGAGACTGAACAAGCAAGCAAGCAGCCAACACCAATCCTGTCTCCTGGTGATTATGTTTGCTAATTTGCATCAGCAAATAGGTTTTGAGTGAATCGTAGTGCCACTTCAATTACATTTCTTATCAATGTAATGTGGAAACTTATTTAGTGAATATATCTGACAAGTTACAGTTTATATTTGCGAAACAATATAATTAATTTGTTATCATAGCAACTAAAACATTATAAAGTTTAAAAAAAAAAAAGAAGCTTTTCATGGTTATGTTTCAGGTACTTAGAGCACTTAGGAATGATTGCAATCTTGGTTAAATATTGAAAAAGTCAAGTCTTAAAGCTCAGGAATGAGAGTGTGTTTACTTTATTAAGTAGCTTATCTTAACTTTGACCAAAAGGGCCATTTATGCCTCCTGTGCTCTGTACTCCAACCATCCAGCCTGAACACTGCCATTCAGTACTTCAGATGTTACCATTGAACATAATCCAGGTTTCCCTCAAGAAATATTTGGCAAAAAAAATTTATATACAAACATAATTTCTATAATAAAGTAGGGTCTGTGGAGGGTTTTAGCCATCAGACAATGAATGCTGGAAACTTTGCTAATATACTATATGTACTATATGTTTTTTAAGAAACTTAATTTGAACACACTAACTTAGAAAGGGTCTGGAAATAGAAACTAGAAATTTAAAGTTGACTTGATTAATAAAAACTTGTTTTAATTAAAATATTTATATTAACTTACTGATATTAGTTGATAAATAAGACACAGGTTGCGAACATACGCAGATATGTATGCAAACACACATATGATCTGTCAGTTTGGGCTCCTTCTGTTGAACTTATCCTGGTTGGGTATAAAGCCTGTGGTAGTAGAGCAGCTGTAGCACATCCAGTCTCACATAGATGCATGCATGCCTCTCTCTCTCCACTATCTACCGTATGGGGAGCCGCTGCCGACCAGCCACCAGGGGATTACGGGGACTGGATGTATATGGAATATTAAACACCCGGCACAACATGGCTTCTATTCTCGTCTATTGACTCAGACATGCAGGGCTGTGTGTAGTTCAGCAACACTCTGCTATTGTTCCAAGACGAGCCCATTTACTTGACTGATATTATTAATGACTGAACGTCTGGCGTAATTAGTTTATTATGCAAATGTGATGAGCAGTTTCTTCTCTGTGGAATTCATTTCATTTTGAAGTGACTCAAGAGAAAATGGCATATTATGATGTAAATTCACAAGAGTCTGTATTTTACACCTAAATCAATCAGTTGTAATGCACTTAAATCATAAACTTGCCTCCAGGAACTACTTGAGTATGCTTTTAGCTTTCATAGGAGAAAAGTCCCAAATGAGCTGCACAGCCCGGTGACATTAATGTAGTGCTCTATCTCTCCTGTTGTGCAGGTACCAGCTGAATAAGATCGTGGTGGACACAGAAGCAGGGCCTTATAGAAACCGGACCGTCCTGTTCCTCGGGTCCAGCAGAGGGACCATCCTCAAGTTCCTCATCATGCCGAACCAGGACAACACCGTCACCAATAGCAACATCTTCCTGGAGGAGCTAGAGGGATTCAACCCTGATAAGTAAGACGCCAAAGCTAACAGGAAGGAAATGGACGTATATTTTGAACTGTTAATGGCATCTTCAACACATTTGGAAAAACTTTTCTTTTTCTGTTTTCTTGCTGAAGTATTAGCACCTCTAAAGCTCACTAATTAAAACATTATATCTAGTTTGTTTAATATGTGCGAAGACCAAAGTGTAAAAAAAATCATGTTGAGGTTTTAAAGGGGGGTTATGTGATTATTTTCACTGTTTCCATATTTCCGGTCTTTATGCTAAGCTTAGCTAAGCGGGTGCTTGAGTTAGCATATATTTATTCATATTTATTTGTACAGCAATAAGAGTGATGTGTGTGTGTAACAAAAAAACTATTACATAACAGCACAAATCTGTATAGTTAGAGAGCCTGATGTTAAATATCTCAGCAGGGGAGGTAAAGAAAGGGTTAAATTACATCCAAGGTTGATGTATACACAGCGAGGGGAGCTGGTGGGGAGATACTCCTAGAAAAACAGTCACATGAAAAAAAAAAAAAAAAGCATGACATGTCCTCAAAACATGCCGTGTCCTGAATTATGCAGAAAACCTCACCTACTCTTCGAAAGATACGCATAATTGTGCAGGAGCTGAGACGATGCAACCCCATGCGGAGAATACAAATAGGGCAAACAGAAAAGAATAGGATAAGAGGCTAATATTCATTATCAGGAAATCTGAACATCTTCTAATGAGGTTGAGAGACACTGTAGAACGGCATTAGTGGAAAAACATCAGAAAATAATGAAATGTTGATAAAATCACATTATCCTTAATCTTCACAAAAATGACAGGAAAAAATGACCCCTTATCTTCAGTCTGAAGCTAAATTATATTTAATATCTGGATCTTAACAAAAGATTGGAGTGGATTGGGCTTCCTGTCCCTTTTCTAATTACCATTTTGCATGAGGCAGTCAGCCTTGAGGTTTCATTGGATGCACATCACTACGTAATGAACACTTGGTACAGTGCCTTTTCAATCTTCATTTCTGCTTTTTTTCTTTGTTGAGATGCAGTGTTCTACCTGGTGGACGGCCGCAGGGTAGAATATTGTCACACAGATGCAGGCAGATTTTGGCTGGTGATTATCTTTCACCAAGGCTAATTAGAGGCCTCTTTTAAAAGAGAGTACATGTTTCTAAGCACTAGGTGTCTGACGTGGTAATTGTGCTCTCTGGTACATATACCTTTTTTGCAATACGGGGAAACACAGGATTATTTCTTGAACCAGCTTGGAAACACTCTTTCTCACTACAGTAGAGTCTCATCTAAATTAGTTGTGCTGTTTCACTTCTTATTTAGTAATAAACATCCTTCCCTTCCCAACCCCTCCAAAATATGCACACCAATTTGTGTCTCAGCTTATTTGTTCTGCTTCAGACTTGACAAAATGAGGGATAGTGATGGCCGGTGAAATGAAGGGACTGTGTAATGAATGAGCTACTGTGGACTGGAGCCAGTATGTGAGGGATAATTTGGTGTGCATGGTGAGCCCACCGGGAGGTCAGTGACAGTCCAGCTATCACAGCAGGCATCCAGCTAATCAGAAGACAGAGCACAGCCATATCAGGGTCTTTTTATGCTCCAGGCCAGGCCACCCCCGACCTCACCTTACATACACAGACAAAGCGATGTCTTGTGCCCTGTAATAACCGCAGGGTACACAGAAGCAGGGCCTCTAACACAGTCATCTTTTAAGAAGTCAGCACAGATAGAAATAACTGGTTTGTGATGGACTGGTTACCATAATGAACTAGGAAATTACCTGAAGGAGATACAACCCTAATAGAGCCTGTGTCTACTCCTATCTTCTCTCCTGTCTGATCTTGGTCCAATCTCTCTTATTTCCTTTCATGAGTCTCTGTGTTTCTTTGCCTTTTTCCCTGCATTTATTACTTGTTTATTCTATTTTTTTTATTTTTATTTTTTGCTTTCCCTACATCTCCAACCCTGTTTTCCCCTGCCTTGTATGATATTGGCTGTGAAGAATGACTCACAGCTTGGCCTTAGCAGAATGATAGATTCTTCTTAATGACTGTGGGTCCGCCGCAATGTTATTACCATAAACCATCCAGATACAACTGATGCATGAGTGCACATGTGCATAAAAAGGTATAAATCCGCTGCACGGAGGCAGGTTGGTGCTGGCTATCGTAGCCCTAAGTGCCAATTAGAAGCGATTCAGTTCCTGGCTGCTGTTTTTTGATGGCAAGCCCGACCTCTCAAACCTCCAAAATCAGCACAGTGTGTATTTGGATTGACACCGTCACATCTGGCTACACGGATTGGCCTCTCGCAGCTTTCACTTTTATTATAGCTTTTATTTATAGAACTGTTTATGTTTGGTTGTGTTTCATGAGGAATGTTTTTTCCGTGCTGTAATGCTCAGAGTGAGGTCAGAGGTTTAATGTGCAGTCTCGGTCTGGTAATTGAAATTGCCTAATGCATTTTTGTTTTTTCTGTGTGCCTGCCTATTTGTGTATGTGTGTGTTGCAGGTGTGCTGAAGACTCTCTGCAGGCCAGGCAGCTGTTGTCTCTGACCCTGGACCGAGCAAGCCACACTCTGCTCTTGGCCTTTCCCTCCTGTGTAGTCAGAGTACCAGTGGCACGGTGCCAGCTCTATTCCCGATGCATGAAGTGAGTCTGCACCAAATACTGTATGTAGGAACATGAAGGGGCAGCAAGGCAGCATAACAAGAAGTTAGGTGACCGTTCAAGAACCATCTGGTCTTCACAAGTGTCCTTGAGCCAGACACTGTGAACCCCTGCCAGCCCCTGGCTGCTCTATAGTGTAGCTGACCTGACTTTTACTGCAATAATAACCATACTACAACTTAATAACAACAGTCACTGTGTCCTTGAGTAAAGTAATAATCTGATAACTGCTCTATAATATGGAAATGAGTCAAAATGCAATAAAATGCACTAGTAAAATTGGAGGGAAATATAATAAAAGCTGTTAGTGTACTACATCGCCATCAGTTATAATGCTGTATTATTGCCATAGCCTGCAAGGTTAACTTTATGTACCATCATTTTAACAGAAAATAATAACAGTAATGTTTACTGACATAATATGGCTAATAAATGATAATACTACATGATAACGAAGCTCATGGTAGTAGTAAGCATTTAACAATTCCATGTAATAATTGAATTATATTACTGTATCATATAATCAGTTGTAGTATAAGGTATAATCAGTAGTGAATGTGTTAATGTGAAATCATTCAAAAGATTATATTTCATCGCTTCATTCAGCAGTTATAAGATTATCAGAAGCTCCAATGAAGTTGCTCATTTTGTTATTCTGGCAGCTCACCAGCCTGAATGTGTTTAACTTAATCTGAATGTGCAGCAGGGCATTTCTGAAAAAGTACCTCGAGTCCACTAATCCTCCATAATTAAACATAAAAATGCATATATTCAAAGTAATGATATTTCACCTGCATACACCCACACAAGCACCGTAATACAGACTCGCTCTCCCTCACTGGCACACTCACCGAGTCTCGATGCCTGTGGCTGTGGCCCGTTCGGGTCCACTGACACACTAACACATACCGGTACACACACCAGGCGTGCAGTGTGTTCACTGAACCAGGTGAGTCATACAAGCGTGTAATTCAGAGCACATTAAGACACACTCACATGCTTTCTGAGGTGTGTTTAGTGTGTGTGCGTTTTATGTGTTTAGATGAGAGATTAATCTTCTGTGTGTGAGTATGTTGAAGGTTTCTTAGTCATGCTTCGGCAGCTTCAGTTCTGGTTTTTAACCTGTGAAGAGTGTCAGTCTACATGGTTGGCTTATTTATTATTTTCAAATAAATCTTTAATAATTCATAATTTTACATCATTACAGGAGGAGGTTTAACTTTTTTTAAAATAAACATATCATCACATGACAGTATGTAGCCTTTGAGATCCTTTTCCTAGAGTGAGGAATTATGATGACAATGACAATAACAACAAAAGTACATAAAAGCTGAGGTTTAACATATTATCCCTCAGCAGCAACTAATCCCTTTTAGGCTAATTCACATCCTTGCCAACCATTTTTCAAAATATAGCACAGTTTTTGATTGATTCCCTACCTTTCAGGCATACAGTAATTTCTATTCATGACACTAGTGCTGTATGAAAATTAACTTACAGAGACTGGAGTGAACATCTCATTGGCTTTTTGTTTTTTCTAGAATTACATTATCACTGTGTGGCAGTGTAAGGGTTCATTTGCAAAAACAGATATCTTTGTTTTTATTTATTTATTTTCCTAAATCATGTTTTTTTTTGTGCATTCCAAGGAATATCATTTTAACTAGTGTTGGTTTATTCATTTTCAGACTGGCTTTTTATTTGTTTTTGTCTTCGTACTTGAGAGCATTTCAAAAACTCTACTTGCTGCTGCAGTCAAGGACATTCTGACATCTAACATCTATATAATATTTAAGAGATGGAGTTGAAATATATCTCATTCATGAACCAGTTTGTCTGAAAATCCAACCCCAGAGACAAACCGCAAGCAACATGGACACTGAATCTGTTACTGTTACCTGCACTTTTATTCTCAATCTGGAAAAAGCTTTTTTTGTCCAACTGCTGTTTCTAAAATGAAGAAATAAGTTTTACACTTAATTCCTAGTAGTTTAATCTACTAACAAAGTTTTTTTTTGTTGATCCTCTTTCAGCTGCATTCCCTCTTTACTCGATACAAAACTTTCACAAAGAAGTAAAATATTCGTTGTGATGAATAACATTATCAGTTATAAGTTTCAGGTCTGAAGAAGTTGGAAATTAATAGTTTCTGGAAAGTGGGAAATCTGTGTTTTAAATCTGTGTCACACATTGGGAGATGATAATGATGTTAAGCACTTATGTTCAGGGTTTGTAGTTACTGTGCAAAATTCATGAATATGACATATGACGTGATCCTGACTTTTAGTTTTAGAACTAGACTAAATAACTAATCGGGTAACAAATAAACAAATAGGTAGCCAAGATCAAGCAAATCAAGTATTTAACTTTTAAGTTTCACAAGGGGAAGTTTAAGTGAAATACAAATTCTTTAATGTTCAAGAAATTAAGTGAATTTTTGTGTCTCTGCAGGAACTGTATTGCCTCCAGGGACCCTTACTGTGGGTGGACCAGAGGAAGCACCTGCTCTTTCCTCAGACCTGGGACCAGGTATGACACCTCTCCAATATACGTCACCTTTAAACACACACTGTCTGCACCACCTCATACGGTATACAGACACTGCCCTGCGTCATTATACTGACACTTTGATTTATTCTTTGTCTGTTAAGTCCACCTGAAGTTTTGCATGCTGCTTTACGACCTTTCTGTGTTCTCTGTCTTTGATCAGACTTTTTTAAAAATCTATTTTTGTTTTGATTTGATTTATTTCTACTTTTATCATTCCTCTCAAGGTTATTTTTCTGACAGCAGACCTAGACGACCACCCATAGATTCATCACATGTATTATTTATCTGGTTTGGAAGTCCTTGGTTCTATTTGCGATTATTTGAGCTTGAGTAACATCTGTGCCCTCTAAGTAGCTTGTCACACTGTCTGCTCTGTGTACACTTATTGATTCAAGATGTCTGCCGCTGCTGTTAAACAATACTATGTTCTTTCACTTTGCTTCTTAAGTGGTGGCCATAAAACACCATGCAAAGTTTTGAGTTTGTTTCTCTGTCCTGTGTTATGTTTGAATGTGTGCGGATGCCTGGGTTCGTGTGTGTGAATGCGAGAGTATGTGTGTGTTTGTGTGACCTCTCTCTCCTCCTGCTACTGAAACGCGGCTGTCTATCTTGACAGCTCACCTCCAGTCGCGGCTGCCTCCCTCCAGTGAAATCAAATCTCTCTTTAGTCAGGCTGCTTATTGAGTTAGGGCTTCAAAACACAGGTGTAGTGCCAGCAAAACAGACAACATGGGCTTTAAAGACCACCTCAGGCTGCCTGCTTATGCTATTAAAGGCCTCTGTGTTGGTCCTGATTTGATTTACCAAGGGCGGTCAACTTGGCAATCGATTTTGCATTGAGTTACTGTGGATTTCCTCTTTGTGGACTAATGCAACCTCTCTTTGCAAACTGACGCCAGTGGAGAGCTCGACCGTTATAAAACATTACATTGTAGTTTGGACAATTTCTGAGGAAAATATGCTTTGTATTATTTATGAAAGTAGTTGTTGTGGTTGGTTTTATTGTTGTGCGTGTTTCTGATTTCCCACGTTTACTTTGTTCACTGCTGTTATGCACTGCTAAAAAAGGTGAGAAGAATAATTTCTCACTATCTTTAGCTTCTGTCAGTGAGAATATGGTGACAAAGCAACCATTAGTTTTAGGCAATTGTTTTGAGAGTTATCCATTACTTTTAGCCAACAATTTCAACCATTCATGCATAAGGTATAGCTAATCATTTTTAATCATTTCATCTTTAGCTAACTGTTTCAACTTCTCAGCTCACGTTCTGTTCACACTGTCTACAGTACAAGCACAAGACTCATTGCCACAGGACCTAGCATGAATAAGCATATGGTCTTTATCAGTATCAATGACGTCTTTAAATATAGAGCCAATGTATCTAGGAAAACATGCTGGAAATAAAAAACACTATAAAAACAAAAAAAAAAAAACATGCACACACACACACACACACACACACACACACACACACACACACACAGACCCAGAGGCAAAGCTAATGTATACAAAGTAAATGACCTACAGTTCATGAGAGGCAGCCAACTGAACACAAACCATTATTCTTTATTAAGATGACAACCGCTGTAGGTTCACGGGGCACTTGGATTCATTTGTCACCGGGATTTCTAGGCATTAAAAGCACAAATGTTGGCTGCGCTACTGCCTGAGCCTTTAGCTAATTGCCGAATGCTTTTCATTCACTTGTCCCAATGAGCTTTTTCCAACATCCTCAAGTAGTTTGTGCTCTGGTTCTAAAAAGGTTGTTTGTAGGTCAACATTTGATCCAGTGTGACAGCACTATTCATGTAACCATGTAGTCTAGAACTTTAAAGATGTCCTCAGTGGCTCTGACTGACTCATTAGCACAAAGGATCAAGCAAAGTAACAATGAATGAACAATGAAAATCAGCACATCTTTGATTTGTTCTGTCTTATGGAGCCATTATTGTAGTAAAACTATTTACAAATGTGAGTGGAGAGTTGTGTAACTGTAACTCAATCAGTGTGTGCGTAATCAGATTTGTGAATGTGTAAAAAATAATCTACAAATGTGTATTAGATTTGCAAATGTATTGAGATTTGTTAATGTGTAGACAAATCTGTGAATGCAGACATACATATTAGTAATTGCTGAGAAGTCTAAGTACTATATTTGCTCCAAGAGCTGGAAATACAGACAACTGATTAGTTACAACTCAGGCAGAACTCTCAGTTGGCTCTTTTTACACCAGACTTTTGCTATACTATCCCTCCATGTCAACTAGAAAATGCATCTTTTGTAAGTAAATAAGATGTTGGCTAGTATTCAAAACATGCTCCATACCCTGAAGTATTTGAACTTTAAATAAGCTCTAATTTCTCTAAATGTTCCTTCCTTCTTACATAGGCTTACATTGAGTAATTTGAGTATCTCTGCTGCCAAGTACTCACTGATATGATGGATCCTTACTAAAACAGGTATAAAGGGTTTAATAAAAAGTGTAAGTCAGATGTCAAACAGGTTAAATTTGACTGATTTCTTTTTTAATACGTCAAGTTTTTCAAAGGAAAAGCCTGACAATTTGGGAAACAGGCTTTTGTGCTTTTTTTGCTGACAGATAGGCAAGAAATAGTTCCAGCACACAACTCCCGGTAAAACCCTTTGACCTTTGTGTGGATAAGACAACAGATATAACGTTTGAATTAATGATCTTGAGATGAAAATGGTATCTCATCTAACTTGACAAGAAATATGAAACATGAAAATGTCAAACTATTCCTTTAATATACTTGTAAATCAAGAGATGTGGAAAGTAGCCTTTGCCTGTATGAATAACACAAAAGGCATAAAATTACCACTAGGTTACAGTACCAGCCAATCAAAATTCCCGCCCCCGCCGGTTGCCAGCTGGTTGCCAGCCGGCTACATATCATATATATATCCATTCATTCCATTCAGATAAGCAAGGGCCTGTCATGGACCAGCTGGTAATTCTAGATGGCTGCATCTGTAGTTAGATATGGCCATTAGGATTGTAGGCTACTGATTTTAAAATAGAAAATTTAATTAGAAATTAGAAGATTAATTATAAAACGGATTACATTATGTAATAATAATTGTAATACATACATTATTATCATCTACACTGCTTTATCAAAATTAGTACTCAATGAAGCTGATAGCCTATATGTTTGTGCTTACAAACACACACAGACTCACAGAGCCTGTCCTTTGCAACTTGGCGCTATTTTCCCTGATATGAGCCGTGATTAAGAGCAGTTGTGTTTTTCTTTGTGAGCACCTGGTCTGTGTGCTGTTCTCATTTCCTCTCTGCTTCCTCACTTCATCATATGTTATTGTCCTTTGAGTTTTCCAAGCTCCCCTGTCGCCCAAATGGGAAATGAGTTTTAAAGCACGGGATAGAGTTGTAGAAATAAGATATATCATAATTTCTCAAGAATTATACAATATGAGTTTGTGGTTGAAGGTTGTTACTTTTTCATAAAGGTACAGTAGGTTTTTCATAAAACTGACATGGTGATTTTATGATGTATTTTTTAAAGAACCAATCTCCCTTAAACTCCATATTAATGATTAAACAGATTTTCTTGACTCTACTCTAACTCGTTAATACTTGAAGACATGAAATTTGTATTTACTCCAAAGTGAAGTATGCTAACCTAGAAATATTTGCAATTCAGTGCATTAATTAGCTTAATTAATGACCCTGCAGGCATAAGTGGTTATCTCTAAATTATAATGGTGATTATTGCAGGATATTAGGCAGCTCAAGGGCCTCTTGAGTTATTTTGCGGTTTTAATTGTTTTTTTTTTTAATTCCTACTTTATCAAAATAAAAACAACGAGTTCTACAATCTGAGTGTTAAAGGAGCTTGTAGAGATACACGCTCCCTTGTCCTCTGCTGTAACATTGAGATAGTTTTCCTCTATCAGAGTGGATCTGTGCTGTGTGTCAGTGGCCAAGTTGCTGTGCCTCCATGTCTTCTGATTAATGACTGTGTCTCTTCTCCTCTGCAGACTGCCGTTCGAGCAAGATGTTGAACAGGGAAACGTGGCCCACTTGGGTGACTGTGACGGTAAGAGGAGTGATTCTCAGTCTCTGCATATGTGTGTGTGTGTGTGTGTGTGTGTGTGTGTGTGTGTGTGTGTGTGTGTGTGTGTGTGTGTGTGTGTGTGTGTGTTTGTTTGCCCACAAGTGTTAAAGCTAATAGCTCTCTTGTCTTTGCCCAGATCCTTGTATAACTTGTGTATCTTCCGGGCAAACAACAATACAGTAAAAGAGAGGGAAGAGCCTGGTAGTTTCAGTTTATATACAGGGAAAATCCACAAATAAACACAGAGACAAGTCCCAGTTCACCTCACTGCTCTGTAGTTTCTCACTTCTCCCAAGAGTAACCACTGAGATCCAACACAAAGACAGTCTGCTAGTCTCATTTTGTCTCCAAGCTGGCAAGAAAATCCCTGTGTATGTTTTAGCTAACTTTGTTGTTCTCGCTCTGTCCTTACTTGTATGCTATCTCTGCTTTGGTCTGGTAGGTTTTTGTTGCATATACATGTGGTTAATTATATTCAACTCCAGCTTTAATTCCCCTTGATGTTTCCTTTTTTCTCTATCCATATCATTATGAAAATAGATGTGGTACAGTACACAGCAAAGCAAAATCTCTATTCTAGATACACAGAGGTTTTTGGATACTCCCATGACACATCCTCTCTTTGATCTGAGTGCTAATTCCAATGCGTGCAAATTAATCCTGTGCTTCTGAAAGTTCCCCGAGTTCATGTGCCGTGCTCCCTGAGAAAAGAACAGATAAATATTGCATAATCGGAACTTGCGTACAACTCTAATCCTGTTTCAGATCGGTGCTCTGTTTGATGCTGCTCTCTCACTTCAGGTCCTCTGACCACTGAACCACAGGGGATGGTCTCTGTAACTGATGGCTGGTGCTCACTCTATGCATGGTGAAGTTAAGCTAGTTATTTGTCTTCATTGAGCCCATGTGTAGCTCCTTATAGAACATGTGGGGGAACTTTTTCAAGCTGTTAGTCCCGCTCCCGAAGAGAAAACCCATGATCCACGGAGTTTATTATATTCAAGACAGATGATGTTGTCCATGTTTACTGCTTTAGATTCCTGCAAGTTAGTTTTTGTAAAAAATAACATGAAGGAGATGAAAAATATGAGAAATGTCTTCTCCACAGGGGAACTCCACTTCAGCAAATACACACGTTTGTGCAGGAAGCTTGTAATTAAAAGTGCAACTTTTATGATCATTACTCCACTTCTGTATTACACCAGTGGGTGAGAGATGAACATAATTATTCTTGCTCACTGCTAATGGAGTGTTTTACAAGCTCTAGTCTCAGATCCTCTTCTTATACTTGTTATATCTTGAACTCTGGTACAAGGTCTCGGGGTCAGAGAGCGTAATGACACTGATACTGAAGCTGTACGCTATTCCACTCACTGCACACTGATCATCAACGCACTTCTCCCTAATCTACTATGTCTTGGATTGTACCTCACTTACATGCCGTTTTTTAAGTGGAAGCCAAATGGATATCCTGTTATTTCGTAACCCATCTCTTATGGGATTAGACCGACACCTTTACAAAACACAAATAGGAACCAGATTCCAGCTGTGTTGGTCACAAATCCCGTGAAAACAAATATTAATCCTTACAAGGTTAAATCCGCTAAATAACTCGCCGATCTGAATGTCTTATATTCAAACAACTATTTCAGGTCATTGTAAGTCGTTCGTATCCATCAGCTCACTTGTATCTTTTATGTCACTAAACAAAAGATCGGAAAAATCTAATACAAAGGACGTGTAAAAAACACAACTAATTGATTTTCATGTTGTATTCCCCCTAGATCACACACTGGGCCAGTTCATTGTTTTTCTCCCAAAAGCAGCATACTGACCCATTTCTCTATGAAGAGGCAGTATACCAGGAATTTGCGCAGAAATAGTCATTGTTTTTCTTAAATTATATCCCCAAAAAACCCTATTTTCCGTTTTATTTGTATTATTAGTTTTAGCAACGAAAACAGATCTTTTTTACAAGCTTTGTAGTTTTTGGCATGATTAGTAAATTGACTAAGACTGTATGAAAACATGAAAATATCAAACAGAACATAAATTTTATGATTTGTACACACGAAAGTGTGCCTTGCCCTGATGGCTGCTCCTCTTGGACCGGTGTGGGATAGAGAAGTACCGCTCTGCCCCCTGTCTTGGGCTTTTGAGGAATATCTGAGCTCTGAGGCGTGTTTGCTCCTGCGTCTGATCCCGTCATGAAATATGCGCGAGCTGAACTCTGTTGAGAGAGGTGAGCTCTGTTGTCTCTAGATGAACGAGAGCTGCTGGATTGGCACGGCAGGAATGTGAGGCAGCATCTATCTGACTGCTGCCACCAACATTTAGACAGCACTTTGTCTCAGGTATTGTGATGAACTTGGTGCCGTTGCCTATCTTTTCATCATATCTCTTTTTTTTATTTGACACTTTCATTGTCTCTGATATGGATGCTTTCCTCAGTGTTTCCTGTTCCTAGTTAACGCTGAGTCCATCTTTCTTTGTCTTCCTGTAAGACAAAGATTCTGCAGACGCAATATTCAGTCAGAGGAAGACAGAGAGGCACAGCTTCAATGAGCTTGTTATGACAAACTGTCACTGACACCGTTAAGACTTTGAAAAGTGCCTGCACACCCTCTCTATATGTGTCTGTCAGCATCTTCCTCTGCGCTTCTCTTCACGTGCCTTAATCTTCACGTACACAGGACACATACTGTACATCTGTGTACTTACAAACACATATGCTCACACACACCAACACAGACTCTTCAGGGACTTGGATTGTCGGAATAGACAGAAGGCTTTTGGTTGCTGAATATTTCATATCTCTATATTGGACTCATTCCACCTGTCTGTATCTTGACCCAGCAGATGGGAGGTGAGATATGGTTTGGCCTACCTATCTCTCTTTGGGGAAATTCAGCAATCTCATTTTAACTCTGCCTTTGCTTACTTCTTTTCTCAAAGAAGAGTCTCTCTCTGCAGCTGCATATCAAACTAAATTTTCTTGCTCTGGCCTCCAGAGAGATCAACATTCACACACACACACACACACACACACACACACACACACACACACACACACACACACACACACACACACACACACACACACACACACACACACACACACACATCTTCAGCAGTCAGTAAGCATGAAGAACAGCTTTTTTTAATCCTGGTTAGGGTTAGGCGTGAGGTAATATTAAGTGTCACTTAAATTAGTGGTTCCAAACCTGCGGCTCGGGGTGACTCAGCAGGTCACAAGATAAACCTGAGTGGTCATGGGAGAAAGGTAAGAAGAAAAAACATTGTTCTTCTACAGGAATTAAAATTAATTGTACTGACTTTTCTTTAATCTTTGCTATTGTCTCAAAACAAGTGTTCAAATAAAAGAATCGAAAAAGTTTACAAGGGAAATTTCATCTTTGGTAGGGCTATTGACAACTTACTACTTCTAGTGGTATGCAGCCAGGATAGCATTTGTTTTATTTGCTCTGGTTTTGAGGGAGTATTTCTTGAGTACAAAGTAGCTCCAGTGAAACATTTTCTAAAGAAAGGGGGAAATTGCTTCTGGCAAGTTGACAATGGCCCTACGATTAAAGTGTTTTTCACAGTTTGTCACCTTTTAAATATAAAATAAATGGATCCCTTTTTTTTCTTTCTTTTTTTTCTTTCGCTTGCATTATTTTCCCAAAGTTATTTTTCAATGCTGTGAGCATTAGTTCCTAAATTTCATTCACCTCAGTTGTGTCGGTGGTGACATATCTGAAAACCTGGCCAAATAAAAAGTCTGCATGAAAGGATAGTGCTAGAGGCACTGTAAGTGAGAGAGAAGTTGTTAGTAATTTGGATGAATTGGTTCTTTAAGATTAAGGTCAGCCTGGTTATGTTCAGTTTTTTAACAGGAAATTATGCTGGTTCTGGCTTTGTAGCTTGTCATAAAAAGAGCAAGTCATTTATTGTGCCATAGTCTTTGCTCCTCTGCTGCTGCGATGCCTCTCTTCTCCCTCATGCTTCATCTCTCTCCAGTCACAGTCAGTGCTACACTGATTTCAGAGCAGCCTTGTCGTCAGACCTCAAAGGGAGATGGATGGACGGCCTTACTTAGAGCCCAGCTAACTGCCTCCCCTTTCTCCTTAGCCAGAGAGGAGCAGTTGCTGGAGGGAGAATCGATTTTCATCTCTCCTCGGGCTGATGGCAGTCGAATAGATATCAAGGGTGATTCTGCAAGGGGAAAGGAATGGGGCTGAGGAGAGCAGGGATGGGGAGGGGAGGGGAGGCCGAGCAAATCAGATCCAGAAGAAGAGAGCAGAGCAAAAAGAGATTGAGAGATCATAGGAAGAAGGCAAACTTTGAGGATGGAAAGGGTAAAATGGTTCAGGGGATCAGAAGTGTGGTGTCATAAGGGCGAATAAGAAAAAAGCAGAGTGATAGGAAGAGAAGGCCGAGAGAGTGAGGTCAGAGGAGGGAAGAAATGCGAGATGGTAGGGGTAATCACATAGGAAGCGGAGAAAAGACGAGGGCGAGGGTGGATGAAAGCATTGAGAATGGAGGGGGGTGCGGGGGAAGGGAGAAGAGCGGCTGTTTTCATGGGTGCTGGGCTGGGCCAGCGTGACAAATGGACTGAGAGTGCCACCGCCGTCTCCTGTGTCACACCGCTGTCACTGGCCTCCTCAGTGGGCTTGTGGCCAGGCTGTAACTCTGTCGAGGTGATGTACGCCACCTGTCTCACGTCCTCTTAATCTTCTCTTTTTACGTATATCACAGAGCAGCTGCATTCTCCTTAGTTCACTCCTGTAGGTACGTCTTTATTTTGAGCATAATGTCCCAAACGCTTGCTAAAAAATATATTTCTGCAATGTCAGAAGACCACAGTAGGAGATTATAGGAAACTATATGAGGAAGTCGGGTGTAGCTAAGGCTATAGGCTTGTGGTTATGCATGGCTGTCTCTGCATTTATTAGAAAACACGCACACACACACCGACACAC